CCCCCCCCCCCCCCCCCCCCCCTCTCTCACCCGCTTAGGTCTCGCCTGTTCCGTTCTACATGGAAGCCCTCGGCAGCACAAGGGCCAGAGTTGTCCGGGGCGCTGTACATACGCAGGCAGTCTTATCCCGCCAAATTTCTGGACACTTCTCAGCATAGTGAGCCGTGACAGTCCGTCCCATGAGAATCGCGCAGTGGTATTCACCGAGCAGGTGTTATGTAAATTAGCCGTGAGCAGATGGAAAGAGGGACAATGTAGGTCCCTCAGCCCGTGTTCTCATTTCATGTGGTGGTATGTACGCGATTCTCATGCAGTGGATGGATACCTAGTGATGGTGCATGGTGATGGCTTCGCAGGTTCTTCCATGGACCTCCATCATCGTGCATCGGAAAAGAATCGAGCGGAGGGGGAATCTAGGGACATGGCATGTTTTTCTGTTCTACTTCGACGCTTACTTCGCCAACACATTGTGTCCCACCAGCCATGCAGCGCGGCGGAATCTGATGTTGGTGATATTGTACACAGAGCGATCGGAGAGGCGAGTCTCTCCAAGTTACCAAAGTAGGGGGCACAGAAGACGGCCTCTCACCAACGAATAGGAAGGTCGGAAACACTGCTGATGTCAACAAAGCGTACCCTAGGCGGCATACACGGTTGGTGTACCATGGTATTGTATCTGTAGTGTATTGCTGCGGGGTGAGCTGGGTAGCTATCCATACCCATGCAGTGCGTCTGGGATGGATCATGACCAGGCAGCGCGTATCGCATGAATCTGAATCTGGATAGAGTGTCGACGGAACCACGCAGATGGGGACGGCTTGCACCCATCCACCCTTCCAATTCCATGTCCACGCTTGCCACGGGCAAGTCCGCACGCTGGCGATGGGCGGCAACCCAGGGGATTCCCTGGATGACGCTGGGCTCACTCCCGACTATATCTCCAAGGTACGCTATTGGTGCATGGCTCTGTTGGTCAATTGACCACTCTGCCGTTTCGCGACGCGTCGGACGGGCGTCTCCTCTGCTGCTTGAACATCCATCCCAGTAATCCCATTCGCCAGCGGGCGTCCTTGCACAACACACTCATACGCCCATGGACACCACTGGGTCGACCTGACTTGCCAAAACAAAGCGCCAAATGGTGCCCCGCCGCCTCAATCCCCCCAAGGCAAGCCAGGGGCAGTGGTTCTCTTATTGTTAGAGTTCGCCCGTCTTGAACGATGCAGTGGGTGCTCTGAGCTACCACGTAAGTTAGTCAAGTTAGCTGCTGAGCACGCGAGAAACCGTGATTCCTTTTTTTTCCCACCCCTTACGAACGGCGTCAATAAAGTACTTACGCCTCTGCTTTCTGTGGGACTTTGGTCGCCAGAGCCCTTCGACCTGGGCTGTCCTAGACCCCGGCAAGCTAATGAGGTAGGTACCTGGCCTTTGGCGACCTGATCCACGATTGGTGCCCATCCATTCACCTGGGCAGTCAGTCATTCATTGATTCATTCACAAGACCTCGCATCACAGCCTCCATCCCTGGCCCCAAGCCCCCTGTCCAAACGCGCAGCAATAGTCCTTGAGTTACCTATGCCTGTGGCCGTCGCGGAAACACGCTGCACCATTTTCCAGTTTGCAGCTCAAGGGGCCCCACGTCTAAGTCAAGCGGGTACATCGAGCCTCAGCCCTCGTTGGACACCCCCCTCCCTCTCTGCGCTGCCTATTCTCTATCCTTCTCGATACGCCAGTACACGAGAGCGGCGGATCGGCTTCCACCCCCAGATACTTGACACAACAGGCGGGGTTTTCGACCACGTACTTGAATACATACTGCAAATTGTCTCGGTGCTTGAGATTAGCTACTTTGGTGGTCAAGTCAGTTGTCATCTTGTCATCTCGTCGACTGACATCCCCAGCTGACTGCCAGCCAGCCACCTAAGGTAGCCTTGAGGAAAGCAGGGCAAGTTACGACTTAAGTTCCAGGTTACGGGTCCAGTCCGTGTCAGTCGACCTCATTCGCTAACTTCCCAAAGCGTACTACGACTACTACTGCTACTACCACTGCCACTACCACTTCTCCTGCCTGCCGTCGGGTACATTTGAATACTGTACTCAATCCCCAAGGACCACGACCGAGACCCGGACATTCCTCCATAGCACGCAGGACCCCCCATTCCACGCTGCAGCCGTGGCCTGGCCTGACTGAAACCTCCTCTCCTCGACACATCGTCACCTTTCGCCAGACCCTCCAGCAGCCTCGTTTTCCATCCCCCCAAGCCTCACCGCCCGGGATCAACCCCTCGCTACCTGTCCGTCGAAGTCGCTCGCCCCTCCCACGCAACTCCCCTCGGCGCACAACCGCCCTCATCCTGGACTCGTCTACACTGTCGGCGGGGTCTCCTGCCCAATTTCACGACGCCCTGGACACAATGGAGGTAGACCCTGCAGCGCCGCCGCCGCCGCCGCCGCCGTCAGCGCCTGCAGCAGAGCCCGAGCCCGAGCTCGCGCCCGCGACCGTGACCCACGACGTGCACGACGACACGCTGGGCGGCATTGAGGGCTCGCCCCAGGTCGCCCCCGACCAGAATGTCCACGATTACCTGCACCACCAGCAGACACAGTCCATCGACCCGGGGCTCACTCAGTCTCCGAGCCGCGACGTCGACATGGACCCCAATGCCCGCTACGACACCCCTCCGATGCCCATGCACCACCAGCCGCATCCCGTCTCGAGACCACCCTCCGGCCTGTCGGGCCACGGCGGCGACAGGCACTACAGCGATCACGCGTCCCGTGGCAGCAGCAGCGCCGAGCAGCAGAATGGCAGGAACCACGTCGTCATCAAGGTCGGCATGGTGGGCGATGCCCAGATAGGCAAGACCTCGCTGATGGTCAAGTATGTCGAGGGCAGCTGGGACGAGGACTACATCCAGACCCTGGGTGTCAACTTTATGGAGAAGACCATCAGCATTCGCAACACGGAGATCACCTTTAGCATCTGGGACCTGGGTGGCCAGAGGGAGTTTGTCAACATGCTTCCCCTGGTCTGCAACGACGCCGTGGCCATCCTGTTCATGTTTGACCTCACGCGGAAGAGCACACTCAACAGCATCAAGGAGTGGTATCGCCAAGGGCGGGGCTTCAACAAGACGGCCATCCCCATCCTTGTGGGGACCAAGTACGATCACTTTGTGAATTTCCCGCGGGAGGACCAGGAGGAAATATCTAATCAGGTTGGTCCACTCGTCTCATTCACCACTGCGCAGGAATTCGCGTGCTGACATCTGGTTTGCCAGGCACGCCGTTTTGCCAAGGCGATGCGCGCTGCCCTGATCTTCAGCAGCACCAGTCACAGCATTAACGTACAGAAGGTAAGGATTACCGTCTCCTGCGTGAGCGGGAGTCGACCGATTGCTAACTTGGCTGTGCCCTGCGCCAGATCTTCAAGATTGTCCTCTCCAAGGCATTCGATCTCAAGTGCACCATCCCTGAGATCGAAAACGTCGGCGAACCTCTACTGCTGTATCAGTCGTGTTGATAATAGCTCCGCATCAAGCCATCGTCCACTCCAAACCCCTAGCTCAACCGGTTTGTACCCGGCAAGGTGGGTTGAGTTGTTGGAACCTTAATCTTGAGTTGATATCTCTCACACCCTGGCATCCCGGCCCACGATGGCATCTGACGTATCTTACGAATTTGACGGCCGTTATGATGAACCATCTCCACACATTTCCAAGAGAAACCCGCTCTCTTGAGCAGCACCACTCTCCATGGCTGGGACCGTCAGCATCACTTCGTCGAACACCGGGCCCTCCCGCATCTTCAGAGAGCACCTGACCTCACACATGGCACATCAGCCTTACATTTCCTTTGTAGTCTAATCCATACACCGAGCACCCTCACATATTGTTTTGAATTTGGCATCAGCATTGGCGGGGCATCTCCAAGCCTCGGAGACTGTATTACAAGCAGCGGAACGCGTATCGCCGCAAGGATGGTTTTTTTGTTTTGGGAGAAAATCCGGTCGTTCAGGCGTAGTTGGGAGAAGTCCCCCGAGCCTGATTCATTTGGTTTGTGACTCGAGCTTCAAGCCTCGAGCTTCGCCGAGGTCTTTGTCAGAGTAGGGTTAAGTGGAACCTGTGTAATTGCTAAATAGAACTCACCGGCAAGCCGCGGTCTGCAACCTTTGCCGGCTTGAGCAGACTGAAGGAGAGGGCCGGCCTGCCCAAGAGGTGGCTGGCATGGTAAGCTGCCACCTGGAATCGTTTGTGAGGTAGACACGGAGAGGAGAGGAAGAGGAAACAAAAATACACAAATTGCCCAGGATTGATTCGTGCTTTGTCTACCCGTGTGAAGTAGGCAATCGCACCGTTTTCAATCTCAGTGCTCCCAGCACCCGACACAAACCTGTGTGTACACTAGTCCGTCAAGAGCCCGACGCCCAACACCGTCGCGTCGTGCAATCTGCATGGCGTGCGTCTCGGAAAGTCGTGCCTTGGTTCAGCTCTCCTACATTCGCCGTTCCAGATCAACGTAGTGACTGTTTCTGAAAATACACTTGCAGGAATGGTTTTGGGCCGGCGCCTGCCTGGCAGCCGCCGATGTGGATGGTGTAATTGTGACATGGCTAACATATGCCAGCGTTCTGCCTTCCCCCCCTTTTTTTTTTCAAACAGAAGGTCTCTGTTGTTGTGGCGCTCGCACTCTGCCATCGTCGTATTCCCACGGACTCTTGGCCTGTAGCACACAATGGGACAACTAGGCAGTCGAACGAGCATAGTTACCAGCCGTGCTTTCGAACCTCGAGGCCTAGCACAAGTACCGCATAGTTTGAGGAACGGGGAGCAGTTTGGTAAAGTAAAAGGCCTGCTTATCAATCTTGCTGGGTTATACCTATTATCGCCACCTAAACGGCCCAAGCCACGACGCTGGAGACCCTGGACCCGAGATTGCGGTTTTCATGGCAAAGGGAGGGACTCGGGCACATGGTTGACATGGTAATCCAAGTGCACGGGCTTAGGACTAGGTACGACCACCACACGAATACAGACTTTAGACCATACATACATATAGAGGTCCGTTGAGGAATTGCTATAGGGCACTCTGTTTTCATGGAATTCACCAGAGAGGCAGAAAACCCTAGGTTACGGTGAATCATGTTCAACCAACTCAGTCCTTGCCCGAGCCTTTCTTGGAATCGTCCTTCTTCTCGGAGTCCTTGCTGGAACTGTCCTTCTCGGAAGTATCCTCCGCGGAGCTTCCCTTTTGCTTGGCATCCCCCTTGCCCTTTTGGGGATCTTCTCTAGGATGTTCCCCGGCGATTTTCTTGCTGGGCATGTCTGACGAGCTGGTAGCCACCTTGGTATCTTTCTCCTCCATCTGTAGGGTGACGTTGGGTCAGTGTGTGGTAGCGACCATCGAAGTGCAACAGGCAACTGTACCGTCTGTTTGTCTTCGTCGTGCTTCTGCCTCTTCCCCTCGGCGTTCTCGGAGCCGGAGCTGCTATCAGCGGGTGGCGGCGGCACGTCCTGTCCGGTCTGTGATGACTTGGTGGCTGCCTTGGTATCGCCGCCCTCGGTCTCTTCCTTTGGGGGCGCGTCCTCGCCGTGGTGAGAAACTCCACCATGGGTGTCGGCCTTCTTGGGGCGGGAGGAGAGCAGGTAAGCCAGGCCGGGAACGGTGATACCAACAGAGCCCAGGAGCCTGGAACTAGTGGTCAGTGACGAGTTCCCAAACCACGTCGTGCTAGTCTCGAGGGCAAAGAGCCGAACCGGAGCAGTGGCGAACTAGAAGGCCGACGGCACGGAGACGAATTGGCTTACGCCGCAACTTGGGGAAGCCTACCAGGGCATGTCGCTCGACTTTGCGGGGCCATGTTGGCTGGCATAGCATCGCCTGCTCGCAAGTCTAGCCGACTGTCGTGGAGCGGCTCGGAAGACTGCGCGCATGGCGACGGCACGGGGCAGCATGGCGGACGTTGGGGAGTGAGGCTGAAAGATGGGCCTTGTGCGGTATCAGATCGCTGTATGCTCTTAAAAAGCCAACAAGATTGGCAATTGGGGTAATGCAGCTCTTGGACGAGTGAGATGACGAACACGCTGGTGCTGGGCTACAACTACTTGACGGACGACGAAAGGAGAAGACAGGCAGGCCGAAGACGATTGCGGATTCGAAGGGGGGGGGAAGAAGAAAGAAAAAGAGGACAGCGTCGGCAGGTCATGAGAGCGAGGTGGCTGGCCGCACATGCGGTATGGTACCGGTACATATGAGTAACGGTAGTCGTGCCCAGAAATGTGACGTTGGAGATTGTTGCCATGAGCTGATGTGGGGCGACCGACTTATACCAGCTACCTAACTGACATAGTATACCCTCAAGCACTGACGTACGCGTGCACCTCACTCGGATACCAGCAATCTCAATTACTACATTTAGCTACCTACTTAGCTACCTAGGTACCGACACGCAGGTGGGAGAGCTGTACCTCAACTGGCCCGGCTGAGAGCTCCCAGTTCAATTGGATCCGTGGCCAATAGTAGAGCCAGCTCCAACGTCACCAGCCATCAGATCTGGCGCCAGCATCCCTGCAACCCCAGCTTAGCGCTCAGGAACGCATACAGGGGGCACGGGTCTTTTTTTTCTTTTTTTTTTTCTCCTGGACTGAAGGCCATAGCTTCAGTCCTCGGAAACATCGAGCCCATCATTGTCGACCCGCGATGGTCCGAGTGACCAAGACTGGAATGGAACGGAATGGCCCGGAGCTCTAGATGTTTTAATCCAGTAGAACCATAAGACGGGAAATCCGGTCAGCCGTCATCGGCGATGGGCCTGTTGCTGATCCGCTAGGAGATGAACCCGAACATCTCCTATAATCTTTGGAAGTGAGGTACCACCAGGTCCCATATGTCGCCAGCATCAAAGATGGCGCAACCGACCAGGCAAGAAGTTCAAAAAGGCGGCAATACAAAAGACGACAGGTGGCATTGCAGCTTAACCTATCCGTTACCGCTACGTAGATAGCTACGAGTAGATATGAAGTTTGCGTACGGAGTACTTTGTACATCCACGGACTTTTGCCAAGTGCAGTCCATGCTCGTTCCTACGGGGCTGCATATCGGAGCCGTCGTCAGATGTCTTGTAGATACTGTAGATGCCTGGGTAGCTACAGCAATTGATGCCCAAGGGCTGAACCTTGTCAGGATTGTGCCAACTGCTTGCATCGGGGATTGGTACCTTGAGGTACTGTATCTTGGTAAGACGTAGCCCTGGAGCCGGTGGCCAACGGGGCCCGCCGACGGTCGAGGTCCTCCGGGCCTCAGGGCCCGCCTGAAGCTTCCTGGGCGACCCCGCCAGTCCCAGGCCTCGAGTTTCCTTCACCTTAAACTCCGACCCCCAGAACATCCCCGCCGCAGCTCACCTTGACATTGACCCCGCCAAACGTTTCACTCCGTCCCCGTCCAGAGTCCAGCGGAGGAACGGCCGCTCCAGACAGGACCTCGGGAAACGGACAGAAGGGCAGAGAGAGCGAGCTGCCCAGCCGGATGGCATCACACCACGAAACGCCCCGCGCCCCATCTAACCTGACATACTAGAACCCCGCCAAAGACCGTTGGCCGTGCTGTCTTGACAGGTGAGCCAGCCCGCCGTGTCCCCACTACCTGGAAGTGTGCCTGTCCGCTGCCTGCCCCGCCTGCCCGCCTGCCCGCCACGTTCCCACTTTGATGCCTGTGACGGATCTCGGCGACAGAGGCACGGACGGTGCGGGTGTGCTCTGAGGCAGCATACCAACGGCTTCATGTTCCCAGCCCTTCTTGCGCGCCTACCCAAGCTACGACGTTGTGCAGAGCCGGGTTTTGACCTGTCCCAGATCGCCAAAACATCCATATTCCTCCCTCCCTCCCTCCCTCCCTACCTACCTACCTACCTACCTACAGGTACCTAGACATCCCGGGCCGGCCCAACACCCCAATGCCCACATTCGTGCCGCCGTCCCAGTAACCGACGCCTTTCCACGACGACCCGAAACCGCCGCGTGGTGAACCCACCACACAGCTACTCACCATGGCGTCGTCGATCAACAATCCGACGGTCCAGACCATCAACCAGCTCCTGGGCAAGCTGAGTGACCCCGACCCGGACCACCGCTTCATGTCACTGGAGGACCTGAAGCAGATCCTGAGCAAGCACCGGGTCGACCTTCTACACAACGACTACAACACGGCCTCGCGCGTAGCCGATGCCGTCATCAAGTCGCTCGACGACCAGCACGGCGAGGTCCAGAATCTGGCACTGCGATGGTGAGCGCCTCCCCCCGCCGCGCCCGGCACTCCTCGACCTGTGACGCAACAAGCTGACCCTCCCATTTCCCGCCAGCATCGGACCTCTCGTCTCGCGCATCCCCACCTCGGTTGTGGCCCCGACCCTCGAGAAGCTCGGCATGCTCAAGATCAAGAACTCGGTCGACAACTCGCTGCCGTCCATTGCCCTCAGAAGCGCCATCGCTGCGCTGCCGAAGCCGGTGCGCGGCGTTGCCCCCGACAGAAATGTCATCGAGACGTACAACATCATCAGCCGGGTCCTGATCCCCAGGATCCTCGGCTACTCGCCTTCTGGCAGTGGCAAGGGCGCTATGCAGGTCGAGACCCAGGGCCTGCTGGACGAGACCGCCGAGCTCACGTCGGAAGCCGTCGACGTGCTCATCGAGGTCGTCCGCGACTTTGGTCCGCTCTTGCAGCCTCTGGAGATAGAGAAGCTGCAGGACGTGGTCGTCAAGGTCCTCGAGCGAAACACCGCTTCCGGCCCCGTCAAGAAGCGCGCTGTCGTGGCCCTGGCCATTCTGGGTCCCTACCTGTCGGATGATGTGCTTAACATCTTCATCATCAAGATCACCTCTGCCTTGAGCCAGAAGAACGTTACGCCTGTCATGAGGAAGCTCTACATCACCATCTTGGGCTCTCTGGCGCGTTCCATCCCATACCAGTTCGGTGAGCACCTCTCCACGCTCTTGCCCTTCATCCTGGCAGCACTCGGCCAGGCTGAGCTCCAGGCCCATATCGACGCTGCAGATGAGAGCGACGACCAGGCTTCCATCGAGTTCAACGAGGTGCGGGAGGCCGCCATGATCGCCCTCGAGGCGTTCCTGGCATCCTGCGGTACACAGATGCGCCCTTACACCGAGGAGGTCATCTCTTGCTGCCTGCGTTACCTGAAGTATGACCCGAACTACGCCGTCGATGACGACGAGGACATGGACGAGGACGAGGACGATGAGGACGAGGAAGATGAGGACGACGACTTTGGCGACGACGATGGTTTCGACGATGACGACGACGACGGAAGCTGGAAGGTCAGAAGATGTGCTACCAAGACCTTGTACACCCTGATCTCCACGCGCAGCAGCGATCTGCTGGACAAGGGCACACTCTACAGTGTCGTTGCTCCCCAGCTCATCAAGCGCTTTGATGAACGGGAAGAGAGTGTTCGTCTGGAAGTCATTGGCACTTTGGCCTTGCTGATCCGAAAGACTGGCGAGGGTGTACTGCGATGCGTCCCGTTGGATGAGGAGGCCGAGCTTCTCCAGTCCTTGCCCGAGTCGCGCAAGAGGAGACGTCAGGACAGTGGCGGTCTTGCCATCAGCAGCAAGGCCCCCTACCTCGGCGCTGGCCTTGCGTCGCCTACCCGAGAGGAGATACCGCCTACCGGACCCCGGGCTGATCTCTCGCAACAGACGCCGTCGATAGTGAAGGCGGCGACGAAGCAGCTCAAGGGCAAGCAGATCTCCACCAAGCAAGCTGTCATCAACCTGCTCGACGACTTGATCTCGCTGCAAAATGGCGGTCTCTCGGACTATTTCGATAAGGTGATGCCCCCCGTCATCGAGGTCACCAAGGGGTCAGCCTCCAGCATCGGCTCGACATCTACGACCTTGTCTGGAGGAGCGTCGTCCGCCACCCCCACTACTCTCCGCGTTGCTGTACTCAGATTCATCAGTGACATTGCCAGGACTCATTCGTCCAATCTTTTACAGCCCTATCTGTCCAAGGTCGCCGACGGTGTCGTCGCTGCTGTCAACGATCGCTTCTACAAGATCTCTAGTGAGGCACTCAGGACGGCCGAGGAACTCGTGAAGGCCATCACTCCGCCGCGGGCCCGGCTAACATCCCAAAAGTACAAGCCCGAGCTCTTCAAGCTTTATGATATCATCGTCGACAGAGCCGCTGCCAACGACGCCGATACCGAGGTCCGACAGAGAGCCATCCAGGCGCTCGGCACCCTTCTCTCCCGAACCTCGGTGCCGGAGGGTACGTCTTTGCTGCCCGTGGACAAGAGACAAGCAGGCCTTAAACTCCTGCTCGAGCGACTGCGCAACGAGACCACCCGTCTTCAAGCTGTGCGGGCCATTGACAATGTTGCCCTCCACACGGTCACTGCCGGTGGTCTCAATCCGGACTGGATCCAGCCTGTCGCGCTGGAGCTGTGCGCTCAACTCCGCAAGACCAACCGCGCACTGCGCGGTGCTAGCATTCAAGCACTGCAGCACCTGATCATGTCCCCCTCAGCCAAGGGAGCCCTCCAGGCCGACACCATCAAGGGCATCGTGGGTGCCATCCAGCCGGTCATTGAGGCGAATGACAGCCATCTGCTGAGTCCAGCCTTGCACGTTCTCGCTCACCTGGAACAAGGCAATCCGGCGCTTATTCTGAACCCCGGTCTCATTACAGCTGTCTGCGGCCTTCTCCGCAGCCTCATCACCGAATCGGCCCTCAATGCATTCCTGAGCCTAGCCACGAGCGTGGGCCAGACTGGTCAGGCGAAGCCTCTGATGCAAGGAGTTCTCCAGGTTGGCGTTGGAGGAGATGCTGCCGCCGTCGGTAAAGTCGCAGGCACACTATACGTTGCCAGCAATGGAAAGGCTGGTGTCTCGGTGGATGAGTTCATCACGGAGCTTGCTACTGCCAGCAAGATGAACCCACCTGACAACAACCGACAGAGCTTGGCGCTCGCCATCCTGGGCGAGATTGGTCTTCGGCTTGGAGCAGAATCCCCCATCAAGCCCGACCTATTCCTGCAACAGTTTCACGAAGAACCAGACAAGGTCTCCATGTCGGCTGCTGTGGCACTGGGTTGCGCAGGTGCTGGCAACCTTCCTGTATTCTTGCCCATCATTCTAGGATCCGTCAAAAAGGCAGGTAGCCAGCAATATCTTCTGCTCCAGTCTATTCGTGAGATTCTGAAGCAGGTGGTCAGGAACTCGACTGACATCAGCTCCTATGCTGGCAACATCTGGGACCTGCTATTTTCCGCCTCCCAGTATGAGGACAACAAGGCCATATGTGCAGAATGTATCGGAAGTATGGCTATCTTGTCGCCGAAGACATACATCCCCAAGCTCCAGGTTAGTCTTTACCCCTGGATGATACTATTTCCCCCGTATTGATGCAGAGCAGCAATTGTTCCAATCTCCGGACCCCAAGTTCCGGGCCGTAGCCGTTCAGGCCATCAGATACACCCTCCCCGATAGTGACGAAGCATTCGACAACATGCTGAAGACAGTCCTAGTAGAAATGCTGCTCACGGTTCTCCAAGATAGCGACATGGAAATCCGACGCCTGGCAATGACCACTCTCAATTCTGCAGCCCACAATAAGCCTGATCTGATACTGCCTCATCTGGGTGAATTGGTACCGTTCGTCATGGCCGAGTCCGTCATCAAACCTGAACTCATTCGTGAGGTTCAGATGGGTCCCTTCAAGCACCAAGTCGATGACGGCCTCGAAGTACGCAAGGTAAGCTATACTCCTTCGCCTTTAAATCCCACGCATCACTGACTCTTGCCATAGAGTGCCTATGAGACGTTGTATGCTCTTATGGAGACTGCCTTCTCACGCATCAGCTCATTAGAGTTTTATGATCGTGTCATCGCTGGGCTAAAAGACGAGAACGACATCCGCGCGCTCTGCAATCTGATGCTGAGCAAACTCATTGTCATTGACCCCGACGAGACTACGCGCCGACTGGACACTATAGCCGAATGCTACCGCAAGATTCTTAGCACAAAATTGAAGGAGGGTTCGGTCAAGCAGGAGGTTGAGAAGCAAGACGAGGCCAACAAGTCTGTTCTTCGCGTTACACTTCTTCTTGCGGACAAGACCAAGACCACACTACCCAGTGGCACAAATACTGGCCCGGGCGCTGCAAACCAACAGGCACAACAGCAGGTCTCGAACCCTGTTTGGCAACAGTACTGGGAATGGGTCAATAAGGACTTTGAGCGATCCATCAAACTTCTTCGAGAGGAGAGCAGAGAGGTCTAGAATACTGTCTTGTTCGCGCCGAGAGGAGTTGTCTAGGTAGGAAGTGGTGTCAGGGTTGGAAGTCAGCTCACAGACTATACGAAGGGCCCCCCTTCTGCACTGGCGTAGATGCCGGGGTTGGAATGACTGATCCAGAACACTTGAAAGGAGGTTTGACGAACATCACAACCCGGTGCTTTGCTCGATATGGCAGGAATGAGTGCGAACATCGCTTTTAGATACAGGAACAGGCTACAGAACTTCGCCTAGGTTATAAAACCCGATGACAACTTCAAATCTTTGTGTGGTCTGAACGAACGTATGTGCCGAAGTGGATAAATACCCCAGCCGCAAGTTTCCGTCCGCCGCTGTGATACGCGGGAGAGAGAACAACGAATATATGATTGTGAAGTCTAGAAACGTTTACTACGAAGGTGTATAAGATATAATGTAACTATTTTTTTTTTTTTAACGTAGCTGGGAATTAGCCCCGTGATTTTACCCCAAGCCGGTCCTCTGATGTCGCCTCGTCTTGCGCTTCGATAAATTTGCTTGAGTACCTTGCCTCACGGTTGACAGGAGTGGTAGGGGAGACTAAGGCCGATGATGCATTGCCTAACTCGTCCTGCCATCCCGCGGTTCCAAGTGTTGACACGAAGGGCGAGGGGGGCTCCTCTATGTCTCCTCTCTCGCCGTACGAAGACAAAGTCCCAGACATCGATACTCCGTCAGGTTCTCGTCTCCTGACTGAGCTACCAGCCAACTCATGGTACACTGCCCCATGGTGATCTGGTTGCCGTGAATCACCATGCAGTTCTGATATCCGCGGCCCATTATCATCAACTGCTGAGCCTGGTACCACTTCGGTGTTGTGGCCGTCCAGCTCATTGCCATGGCCTTCGCTAACACTCTCACTAGTACCTTCGGCATTACTGCCTCTGGCACTATCACCCACAGTCTCCGGCGAGTAATACTTTGCTGGCGGGGTCGGCTGGACGTTGTGTATTGGGCCATTGATGACTGTCATATCGGGCTCTGGCTCAGATGCAGCGTATGCAGCCTTTTTGCGCTGGCGGAGAATCATGAAGGCTATGAACCCTGCAAGGAGGACGGCGATAATGACTCCAACCACTATGCCAGCGATCACGCCATTGCTTAGCGTTGAGCCTTTTGAACCAGATGGACACCCGTTTCCCGTGGCGGAACAGTCGGAGTCATCGTCAGAGTCTTTCGCCTGGATAGTGACAATGTTTTCTTGGGCGCCCTGGTCCCATTTACAAGCGGATACATTGAAAACACCACGCTCATAGTCGGCGGAGAGGTACCTATCGAGGAGTCAGACCCGTCTTCTTCGGACTAATTCTCTTTGAATCGGGCTCTTACGCTTCTTGCAGAAATGTGCGGCCCAAGGTGTACTGCGATGCGTTGGCTGCGCGCTTGAGTGGGAAATAGTAGCTGCTGTTGTCAACCAAGGGATATTTGGCAGTAAGATCAAACGCATTGTAAGGTAATATGACCCTCACGGTATCACCGCCCAAGTTCACATCTGACAGCCTAAAGGACACCTCGGCGTTGGAGTCCAGTAATGTATTGTGGTGTGTTTCGTTGACCAGATACAGCCCAGATTCAGGGTCGAGAGTCAATCCGAAGGCTTCTTCGAACGCGTCACAGGTGCTCTCTGGAAGCCAGATGTTAGGTTCCGTAGAGTCAAGGAAAATCTGGATCGAGTCAGAAAGAAGACTCATCGAGCTCGACCCGCTGTAACTAATAGACTGGAGGGCAACCACCAAGTCGCGGGTGAGATCGTCTGCCATTGTAAAGGACACCGAGTTTTCGGTGAATCGCGAGGTGTCATAGCCAGAGAGGATCAGTTGCCCATATACTTGTTTAAGACCTGAATCCAAAGAGCTGAATCAGCGGTTGTCATCCCCGTAAGATTTGAGTCCTCACGTACGGTATTTAGCGCCGGCCGTATAACTCCAGCTTAGACTAGGGACAACACCTTTGTCTTTAAGTGTTGTGAGGAAGGAAGTAGAAGAGGTGTTTCCCAGAGTACTGAAGTTCACTGGCTGTGTATTGAGTCCAAAAACACCCCTACCGGCGATGCATTGTCAGTGGCAATTTCTACACAGCAGGTAATGGGCAAGGACATCCTACAAGTAGAAATAGTCAGCTGCTGCGAGACCGGCGACGGTCTGATTATCGAGCTTGGGTCCGATGAACCCTAGTCCAAGGGTTTCCAACGCAAACTCTACTCTTTGGGAGTATCCAAGATTTGCCTCGAGACCAACGCCGTCCTGGTTGATTCCGAAGAGCCCCAGGTCGTTCCAACTGGAAGACTCGTTGGGATTAAATAAGTTGCCCCTGGAGACTGCACAATCTGAAGGCACAGTGGCTAATGCAAGAGTCGAACAGCCATACTCCGAGAGTACGACCATTGACTCTGGGGAGGTCGTCGACACAAGTACTCTGACATCTTGTTCAGGCGTGCCGACGCGAATATTGAAGGTGCTCCACGGCCCGTCGTTCCCCTCGCTGAAAAATGTTTTAGCACAATGTTCGAGAACAGTTTAGACCCAAGTAGACTTACAAGTATTCGCTCGGGGGTATTGATATGGCCTTTGCATTACGGTCCTTGGACGAGGAACGCTCCAACGTGGTGGTAGAGCTGTCATTTGCTGCCCGACATCCGTACATCCAAGAGAGTGCCAACGCTAGCGCTACTATGATCAAATTCATCTTGACAATCCAAATTCATACAGAACGGTATTCGCAGTCGGGTGCGCACAGGAAGGATACGGCGCGTTCCCGCCAACATTTTGGCAAGCTCTATCATACTTGCGACCGACGTATCGACTACTAGGACTAGTCATATACATATGGCCGAAACCCACCCCATAACAGCAGTGGAGTAGCATCATTCTGCTGCACCCTGCCCGTGGATCTGACAGAATACGGGAGGGCCTGGCCAGCCTCCGTAGCGTAAGCTCCGAGTCACAGTAGCATCCATTGAAAGTCTGGGGCGATAGACGTCATCGCCAGCTTGACCCCTGATCGATATCCATCTAGTGGCCAATCAACAGTATGCACAACACATATATTTCCGCGTATCCTTGTACGTACAGCAAACAGGCTCAGATGTCCTATGGTTCCTAGTATCGCCCAGCCAATCGCACCTCCACAATCCGCAAGATGTTCCTGATCATACTGGTCGGCTGTCTGCCATTTCTCTTTCGGGCAGACGGCCTGCCGAAGCGCCATCAACATGACAGCATCAAGACGTATGTACAGTATCCAAGAATGGCCTTAGCCATCCGTGGCTACCGTGCCCTGCCACAGTAGTGGTGTCTCATAAGACTGCGGGCCGCATTGATTTCCAGCCGCATTTCTGTCTCAAGTTGCTTCACCCAGACTCTCGTTGCCCTACACTAGCCTTTTCACTCGCTTAAGCCCAAGTTGGTACTCTTGCAAGAGCCGCAGTCATGGTGGCAGTATCTAGATCAGTGGCACTGGCTGTAGTGCTCGTTTTCAGAGCACAGCCTTCGTACGGAAGTGGTATGTTTTGGTCGAATCAAGTGATTATCATGTGCAGCGACTGACTTAAGGAAGCTATTCACCAACCTTATCCCTATCTTAATGTTTCAAGCAGTGTCGCCACCACAACTCTATTGCCTATTGACTGCTCAGACACATCATCTAATATCTATTACCCTCCCTCGGGCAGGACTGTGGTCACTGTTAGTGTGTCGACGACCACTACTCTACGCGCGTCGGACACGCCTTGCTACAGCAACAGCACCGTCAGCAGCAGCACGACGACGACGACCATTGTTCCAACCTACATAACTACATCGACTGTGCCTCACCATACGACCACAACTATTGTGCCAAGCACTATTACATCTTCTGCAACATATACGTCTCATAGTTACACTACGACGACCATTGCCGATGAGTGTCCTTCGACCTGTAGCATGTAAGAGTCTCAGCCTTCCACACTATTAACACTTTTGCTGACGTAAGTTTCCAAGTTCCGCGGGAACTGTCAACTTGTTCTTCTGGCCCACGAACAATGACTATTCGTACCCGTCTACGTATGTTAACACGGCACTCGACTACACCTTGTACGTACTCTCCACAGCAAGTTTGTGCAAACTTCTTCCAGCAGGCGCTAACATAAAAGCTAGTACATCGCCATCTGTATATATGCTAATCAACACTATCTATGGCTATAACTCGCTAGGCCGCGCGGGCCCTGCCGGTACTAGCGAGATCTTCGCGCTCAACCTTGACCAAGTTTCCACGATAGTCCCCGGCAGTGATGCTACACGACAGTTGTCCCTTAGCGACTTGGGAACCGACTGCCCTCAGAGCATCGATCCTTCCGAGATAGCGACGAAGGCGCCAGACGGGCGTTGCGATCCTAGCCTTGTCGCACCAGACGTGGTTAAGTCATGGGCTCTACCATGTAACGCGTGTGGCAAATTTGGCCTGTTCGATCCTCCATACGCCGTTCCGACTCTTACCGGAGGCCTGATCGAGCCGACGATAACAACAGTGGCTACCACAGCAGCCACATCGGCAGCCACTGGCGCCACTTCCACTGCCGTTCCAACAACCACCACCGCTGTCCCTGCGACAACCAACACCCCTTCATCAACACTCATCACCACTGGAACATCCACTCTCGTAACTACGACATCATCATTGCTGACAGACGTAGATCCGACTACAGTAGTGACCGCCGCTGGACAGAATGTATCGATTCGTGTGGCCTACTTAGTCGTGAGTTGGATCGCAGCAATATGGCTGTTATAAAGCTGTGGTACATAGACAGCTCACTCGTCTTGACCAAGGAACTCAAGATTGATCGTACTCACCTGAACCTAAATACATAGGCAGACAAGGAGAATAATTATACTTACACTATATATCAGGTTCAAGTCTCTTCCGCGTGGTCCTGCTCGGAAAAGAAGGAGAATACCTTTCGCAGATCTATTTAGTATGCCATAGCAGCGCCAAGGCCCGCGGGGTGAACTTCCTGTCAAATTGTACCTGTATCTAGGTGCCTGAATTGCCCAGGCTGAGATCACATACATAAAGAGGCTCTTGAATACATATGGGAGCCACTCGAGATGTAAGCTCTAAAAGTTGAAGTGCAGATTCTTCGACAAATATGAACTCTTAAGTAAGTCGTAAGTAGCCATCACATATCTTCGCAGTTGCGCCGGTGATAATACGTTTCGGTTCAGTAGTTGTCAGCTCCGGTGCCATGACAAGTCTAGATTACTACGTGCTTTCACTATCACTTGCACATAGAAGTAGTTCGCAATGCCGTTGAGTTCCTTGAGACTCCGTAAGACAAGTCTATCACCCAACGCAACTCTTCCTGGCCACGGCTCGTCATACTCAGGATATATCATAGTTGACACTGTTTGCAGAACCATGAGACATATTAAACACCGAGCTCATATCGCTGAACGAACCAACACCATGTTCTATACCATAAGTGTCACATGATAACCCAGCTAAGCAGGTTGGGTTGCTGTCTAGAGTTGCCTGTACCAGGACATTGACGACGTTCTTGGTTATAACCGGGGTATTGGGGAAAGCACTGCAATTCGTTAGTGGCGTTTCCTGAGCAACTCGCTCAATGGCAGTGAGTCTCTCACTTTCTGGAAAGGTATGCGTGGCCCAATTGTATCATGCGTTTCGCTGTTGCCCGTCGAGGGCGATGACAGGTAAATACACGGCCTATCGTTGATGTCACTAGGAGTTCCGTAGTGGGACTCTAGCCATATTTTGAGAACCGCTGTCCGTCTGATCCGGCAGAAAACCTGGGTTATGCTTTTGCTGCGGTCTTTGGATACTATCGTACTTTTCTCCAAGCATAGCTTGGGCATTAAATGCGCTGGGCTTCCTTTGGCTGGGTACGTCTATGCAGTGAATGACAAATATTGGCCCTGAGGACTATCTAACATCGTCTCCATCGCCAAGGGAGAGACTCTCAGGTCCTGATTCTGCTGTCTAACTCAAGCTAGTTCCTCTCTAAGATGACCGACGGCGCTGAGGTATTTGATGATGCCACCGGTGATTCGCAAGCCCAGTGACAAAAGGCCGGCAACAGAGGCGGTCAAGCCTTTACTCTCGGCCGCCATGATTCTTTGTCTGCACGGGTGAAGGCGGCATAGAGACTGCCATGGTCGACTAACGGTGTAAATTTCAATTTATTCTCGTATAAAAAAGAGTAGAAAAAAATAAAAATGAAATCTCAGCTATACATGTCAGTTGTGGTAGCAAGAGAAAGTGGCATAGCGTATTAGCCACGCCGCCCGGGTTGTCACATCTGGAATTTTTGATTGGCCAAAAGCTCAATGCAGGCAGGGTACCGCATACTTTATGTTCAGCGTGAGGAAACTGACGGGGGATTGTATCAAACACAACATACAGTATGGACCAGGTCGGGTGTCAGCACATGTGCATGAGTTTCCTAGTAGATCAGGCTAGAGTTGCATTTGTGCTAACCATCTAGGGCTACTTCCCGTGTGTCACCAATGGAGACGATGTTACATAGATAACTATCCATTGGGCTGTATGCAACATGTATCCCTTGACACATGACGTCGTCAATCGCTGTGGATGGGGCCTGACGCTTGCATGCATGCCTGCGTGCCTGACTTACAAAAATTTACTAGACATCTCCAAGCTGGTATGTCATGAGGACATTTTCCAAGTTCTACCGTAGTTCTCAAGCTATTGGTACCCATTGACATTGAACCGTCCAGGAAAAGATATCACTAGTACCAGAGAAAATCATGGCAACCACTTCGACGCTAAACGCGGAAGAAAAAATGCCATATTTAACTTTGTTCAGTCTGTTCCGACTCATTGGTGTGTAGCTCTTTTATCGTATGGGAGTAGCATTGTATAACCTGTTACCTTTGCATCCCTTGTATACATTCCCTGGACCCAAGCTTGCTGCCATGGGCTACTTTTACGAAGCCTGCTACGACTTCTGGCTGGTAAGCAGATATAGTGTTAGACTAAGAAGATGCATGAGAAATATGGTAGGTCCATTCATCTATGTGCTGGAAGCTCCGCTTACCGACTATACTATCATAGGCCCAATTGTCACAATCAGCCCAGATGAACTACGCTATAACGACCCCCGGATTGTGGACCAAATATACGCTAGAGGGAACCGTATTCGAGGCAAGTGGCAACATTTCCTGAATATAAGCAGTGGGTCAATATAAACAAGAGCTTAAGGGGCCCAAATTCTTAATGTACGATCACTTGACCTCGATATGTAGCGACTGGACCTATTCCTGTTGGTAGCTTTGGAACAGCCTTACACGATATGCATCGCATGAGGAGGGCTCCTATTAACAGGTTCCTCTCCCGTGCTCAGATGCTCAAGCTTGAGGCAGAGGTTCACGAATTCACCCAGCGCATGTGTGACAAAATGCTCCGTACTTGGGGACCGTTTGATGTTAAGGAAGTCTATAACTGTTACACGGCTGACTTCATTTCCCAATATACATTCGGTAAGTCCATAGAATTTGTCGATCAAGAAGGTTAGCTGCCGAAATTTGGAACATGAGTGAAAAACTTTTTCGACATCACATACATGCTTCGGTACATATCGCCGATTAGACAGTTGATGGCCCTCGCCCCTCTCTTCGCTGACTATATAGGAGACGACATGAAGGCACTTATGAATGAGCTGAATATTACGATTCCTGGGCAAATCCAGCGAGCCTTGGATAAGAAGGAATCGGGAAGGATGTTTACTGACCTTATCGAGTCCGATCAGCTACCAGAGGCCGAGAAAACCATATTCCGTCTCTCCGGAGAAGGATCCACGATTCTTGCTGCAGGTACAGAAACAATTGCCGCGAGTCCAATTTAATACGATCTGGTCATTCATTCTCGGTATTGAGTAGCCGCAACAGTCAACCCTTACATGTATCGCCTTCTATCTGCTTCATCAGCGGCCCACGTTTGAACTATTGTTATCGGAACTGAAGGAGAGAGCCCGCTTAATCTCAAATGGACCGACCTTGAGCAGCGCCCCGACTTATGGGCCGTGATATACGAAGCACTGCGCTTCACGCCTGGTATCTCGCATAGGCCGGCTAGAATCGCCCGAGAGGAGGATCTGTTCTACAAGAGCGAAAATGGCAAAGCCCAGTGGGTCCAAAGGTACGCCTATTGGCATGAGCCCATATGTCCAACATAGCAACGAGACACTTTTCCCGAACGCAAGCGAGTTCCGGGCAGAGAGGTGGCTTCTTGCGAATGGGCAGCAGAACTATGCATTTGAGAAGCATTTGATGTCCTTCGGCAAAGGCAGTCGGTCATGCTTGGGTACCAAGTAAGATTGTCTCCTGCTGATTGAAGATGCATTCTAACCCAAGAATCACAGCCTGGCGTATTGCGAGCTGTTTCTATTGACAGCTGCAATGGCGCTGCGAGTGCTTCCCAGAGCCAAGCTGCTGTCCTCTATCGAAGATGTCCGATACGACCATGATCTTGTTGTTCCGAATGCGAAATACGGCTTGATCCGCGCGTATATCCAGATCACCTAGCAGTCAGACAGGCGGACCTTGCTTCATGTATGGCTCAGCCTTCGTATCCTAGGGATCTGTCATCTGCGGCAAAGCATGACCACTGTAAAAGCCGGCAACTTGCTGAATGCTGAGCAGCGGTTAAATGTGACTCCGCGATAACTTGAATGACGTCTCGAGTTCGGGTACAACATTGGGGCAGGGGTTTAGGATCGCTGCCCAGATACCTTGTGGTAGGACAGGTAAGTTGATGGCATGGTTCCTGCTGCTCAGCGCTCTCTCTTGGGCTAGTGGCCCGCAGTGGACCGGATCGTACAGATGGAGCTCTGGCGCTTTTGTTTGGGTTTCACTGTGTATTGGTGGTACCGGTATGCTTATGGCTGCATCCATACTTCCGACGAGCAGTTGATGTGGGTTCTACTCCGGCCGTCCGAGAGAAGGACAGCCAGTAACGTTCATGACAGAACCGAGCAGCCCGCCGCGGAACAACGCATCTGGCCTATTCTATCTTGTTAATGTACAGATGTACAAACCTAAACAGGACGGAGACAGCTTTCAGTATTCAATAGTTATTGCTTTCTATATCTAGATACTCAATTCGTAGTGTCAATCTACAGTTGTAACTACTCTACCTATGTATGGAATCAGCCTAGTGTTCCAAGGGAAACTAACTCGTATGCTTTGAAACAGTTGCTAAGCCTTTGAGTTACACCTCTGGGAGTAGGCCGCTGGCAGCCTGAGTACTATGGTATGCATCAAGTGGAGGCAGAATATTCATGATGACGTCATTTCCGGCATAGCGAGTTTTTTGGGCCCCAGCGTCGTTTGGGTCCATGGATGCTTCTGGCCACTGAAAACCGCCGCCAAGCTGAAAGGCTGAGAGGCTACCATACCTGGAGGAGCCCCCTACTGGACCTAGCCTAGACCGCTGTGGTCGAAAGGCACGGGCAGCGATCGGCAGATTAGCTGGGCTACAGGCTTGCGTTGAATAACACAGCACAACCTCCAAGCACCAGGACCAGGACCAGCACCCGCCCCGGCAAAGCTCAGCTTTCTCCGAATTCTAGTCTGCCACGACGACGATATCACCGACGACAACCTGGAGCACTGCGCGCCCACATCCCCGCCTGTCTTCCAGCACTCAGCAACTACGCAACAGACAGTAACTTACCTCCCCCCCCCCCCCCCCCATCACGGCCTGGGTCTTGCGGACTCACCTCACCTCACCTGGATCCCGTGAGCGAGCTAGTCGCCAGCCACCCAATGTTCCAATGATGCGCCGCCGCCATTGAGCTCGATAAGCTCGCCAGATACGCGTCCAAAACGCTTTCGCGACCGCTAGTCTCGGGTGGAGGAGTGCCGCGCTGTAGTTCATTCGACCGACGGCTGTCACGAGCATTCCCCTTGTGGTCGATCGAGTCCTGGGTGCAGATCAGAATAGACAAGGCAGCATGGACTTCGAGGCGGCCACTGCCCCGTCTCTCGCCATGAGCCAGGGCCCCGCGAGCAGCGATGTCAAGAGTGAGGTCAAGAAGCCTAAGAAGAAGAAGGTCCTCCTCATGGGCAAGAGCGGCTCTGGCAAGTCGAGCATGAGGAGCATCATCTTCAGCAACTACATTGCGCGAGATACACGGAGGCTGTGAGTCCGGAGTCCTATCCCCCCCCTTCCCTTCCCTTCACACCCTTCTCCTCCCCTCCCCGCGCGCCAGACCACCCTTTCAGCCCTATCCACCACCCTCAGGTCTTCGGCGGTTCTCGACGGCTGGCGGTGGCTAACCTGCAACCCTGATCTAGCGGCGCAACCATCGATATCGACCTGTCGCATGTCAAGTTCCTAGGGAATCTGACCTTGAACCTATGGGATTGTGGTGGCCAGGAGGCCTTCATGGAGAACTACCTATCCCAGCAACGCGTCCACGTCTTCTCCAACGTCGGCGTCCTTATCTACGTCTTTGACATAGAGTCTCGCGATGTGGACAGGGATATGGCGACCTACGTCTCCGTCATGTCGGCCCTCACCCAGTTCTCCCCGACGGCCAAGGTCTATGTGCTCATCCACAAGATGGATCTTATCATGACCCATGTCCGCGAGGCTGTCTTCATGGAACGCGTTCGGCTAGTGCGGCAGAAGACTGCCGAGTTCGTGCAGGGCTCGGGGTTCAACAGGGAGGTGGACTTGACCCCCTTTGCAACCTCGATATGGGACCAATCGCTCTACAAGGCCTGGGCGAGCATCATACACGACCTGGTGCCGAACCTGTCAGTCATCGAGTCGCAGCTCGAGTCCCTGGGCATCCTAATCGAGGCTGAGGAGCTACTGCTGTTCGAGAGAACTAGTTTCCTGGTCGTGTCCAACTGGACGTCCAGTGAGGGCCAGAACAACCCGACCACGGATCGCCAAGAGCGCATCTCGAATATACTAAAGCACTTCAAGCAGAGTATCAGCCGCTTCACTGGGACGCCCCGGAACGCCGAGCAATTCATGCTGATGGAACACAAGGCCGGTGGCCGCTTCTCCATCTTTTGCCTGAAGGTAGGTTCGGATCATACGCGAAATGGCCCGCTCTCATTCTGACTGTCCCCCTCTAGTTCACCACCAACACCTACCTGATGGTGATACTTCCTCCGGGAGAAGCCCGCTTCAATGCAGCCAAAATGAACTGCCAGATCGCAAGGGAGAGCTTCAAGTTCCTGGACGGGCCCATCTCTGGCGCCGGCCAATAACCGATAGGACCTGAGTACTTGAGACGACGACGACGACGACTGCGGATTCCTGCTTATCCGTCACTATTGAGGATTTTGCATGTGCTATTGTGATACCCGTGCTTTTCCCAAGCCATTGTGGTTTGTGGAGCTGTCAGACTGGAAGGGTCTGCAACAACGGAGGGAGTGTATATGCTCAGGCACTGAATTAGGATTGTCCTGGACGGTTCCACCATTCCAAGGCGCAATCCGGAGATGATGTAGTGTTCTGAAACCTCTGCTTCTACCAAGTTGGGGGAGTTTTCGGGATGGGAACGTGGTGGTTCTCGAAAGCTTGTTCTACTAATGCCGGTCTCGTCGGACCTGGTCCTTTCCAATCATACATAGAGTCGCCAATCAGAAAGATAAGGGCTACCACGAAGTCCTCGAATGTAGCAAGCATTGCATACCATGAGCATGGCCGACACGTCCAGCACGTGAACCAAGCCCTCCTGCTGGTTGGCACGCCAAGACACGTTCTCGGGCAGCACCACTCCATTGGCAAGCGAGGTCCGGATCGCAATCTGCACGGGCGTAATGCGCAATTGATAACTCGCTGATCAAATGAATCCCATACTTGCCCAGCGACCCGCCGGTGCCATTCCAAGCTAGCCTGCATAATACTCCCCTGCCGATCGGTAGCCCGATTAGGCAGGTTGGCCTGCAGTGCCGGAGCTTGCCAGCCATCCTCGCCGGTCTCATTCGCTGACGACCGCGCTGTCAGTCCCTCATTTCGGCTTGGCTTCGAATAAGCTCTTCTGCTCAAACCCCACGATTGCAACCCCATTTGTGGAGTTGTATCGCAGATAGGACCCTTACTTTCCCGCTAACCATGATCCTCAGACCCGTACATCGTGACGGGCTACATGATTGCTTATCTCGACTGTGGGCTTCCCGCCTTGAGTAGTACGGCACGAGGGAAGACTGAGCCCCAAAATGGACACTTGATGGATCTTGGGTGGATATGCTGCCATGGCATCTGCTCTTGGAGAATCTTAGCTGGGCTGCCTGTGTGTGGTGGGATTAAAAAGTCAACTCTTTTCTTCAATTACTCTGATGTGATCAAGTCTAGAGCATCATTTTCCCCCTAGAGATCCTGCGAGTCCGTTACGCTTCACGACAGCAAGTCTCGCTTGAACTGCGACTTCCCGGCCCAGGCTGTGACGGTGCGTTGTCAAAGCCGAAGGAGGGTCACACCGATCCTGAGTGCTCCTCTCTAACTTCTCCTCCCGATAGCTATAGACCGACTATACCTCGACCCGTTGCTCGATCTCCGGCGGTCTCCTTCAAGCACGTGGCTTGCCTGTCTCGAGGCCTTTGAAGACCACTCCAGATAACGTGCCTCTTGGCGACGAGAAAGGCAATAGAAGCTTCGCAGGCATATAAGTCGACAACGCCACCCCGTGAATACCCTCAGGGGACTCCCCAAGCCCGTGTCCAGGATCCAGCCTGTCGCCGAAGTCCGCATTGAGAGCCAAGCTGTCAAGTAATTTCCCATCACCATGAAGTTCACCATCTTCGCCGCCGGCATCCTGTCGGCCGTTGCCGTCAGCGCCGCGCCCGTGCCAGACCCCGTCGCTGAGCCCCTGCCCATGCCCAGTCCCGTATGTAAAGTTATGCTGCCCTTTCTTCCACAACTGCTTATAGCAGCCGGCCGGCCGGCCTCGACCGTGCCGCATTCTTGGGTCTCGTAACCAGGGTACAAGAGCTGACAAGGCTGCAGTCCGGCATCCCGAGCGCCGCAACGGCCAAGACACAGCTCGCGGCCCTCACCGTGAAGGCGTCTGTCAGCGGCGATGACTACGACCGGGATCTGTTCCCGACATGGATCACAATCTCGGGTACCTGCGACACGCGTGAGTACGTGCTCAAGCGAGACGCCACCAGCATCACCGTCGACAGTGCCTGCAAGGCGACCGCCGGCAAGTGGACAAGCCCGTATGATGGCGCATCCTGGACGGCCGCGAGCGACCTGGATATTGACCACATGGTCCCACTGAAGAATGCCTGGATTGTAAGTTTCCTCCATCCGCTCTTCCATGCCCACCCCGCCGTGAACTGTAAATACGCGAACAAGTGGTGGTGTCGTGACCCAAAAGAAGTATCGCATCTTGGTTCTAACATACCTCTCAGTCTGGTGCCAACGCGTGGACCACGGCCAAACGCCAGCAGTTTGCCAATGATGTGACACGGCCACAGCTGTGGGCTGTGACGGACAACGTCAACCAGTCCAAGAGTGACAAAAGCCCGGACCAGTGGAAGCCGCCGCTGTCCAGCTTCTATTGCGTCTATGCCCGCGCCTGGGTCCAGGTGAAGTCGTACTGGGAGCTGAGCATCACGAGCGCCGAGAAGTCGGCCCTCACAAGCATGTTGAACACGTGCTAATCGGAGCGTTTGATTCGTGGTTTCCAAGATATGATGATGGAGTGGCGTTGAGGAGCCTCTTCCATACAGAGGGGTGATTTTGGTTGCTGATTTCAGTTGGTTACCCCTTTTGATTCGTGTTATGTCCAGTTTGTCGCCAAATTTGATTTATTGGCCGCTGGGGTTTTGATAGTAGAGCGTGTTAGTGGTTAGCATTCTTAGTTGCGAGAGGGGCGTCGGTAGGACGCTCAGTGGGACAAATTTGAGCCTCGTTATAACCGAAGTCGAGGTATTTCCAGAGCAGGGGCATAGGTGTGCGGGCGAGGGCTAGGTGTCTGCGTCTAGATCACGGGGAGACTGCATGCACACTGGAATAAAGGCAACGATGCGGGAAACGTGTATGAATTGGGGCGTCTTGCTCGGAGATGCCACCCAGTTCTAGCGGTCTATTAGCTTTTGGTACCTAGCAAGCAATACAACAACAGTCGCAGAAAAACATGATGGGCATTCTAGCCTGTCCTGCATTGAGCGTCTACGTCTTCTTCACCATGGCAGTGCCGCCCTTCTTAAACTCGGGCATGTCACCGAGGACGAGCGACTTGTCAGCGTGGTCCTTGTTGGGGAAGGTCGTGGCCAAAACCCAGCCACCTGCTCGCAGGTCGGGCGAGGACTGTGTGATGAATTGGTAGACGTCACTGACGGTCTGGGTCGTATTGAATCTCGCAGGGAGTCGGGTGCCATCGGGCATTTGGATGCGAATCATGATGGTGGGTTGCGAGTCGTCCACATTTGTCGAGGCGCTGGGCGTGGCCGTCGACGAGGATGATGCTGCAGTCCGCGGCGGCGCGGGCGAGGACGAGGAAACAGCAGCGGTAGCAGCAGAGGCGGCGGCTGCGGCGCTCCCATCCCCAGGTACGGGGCTGCCTAGTCTGCGACCCTCGCCGCCGAAGGGCTTGTAGACCTTGGGCAAGGGGCGGTAGTTTTCGTCGTGCTGCTGCAGCTTGACATCCAGGGGTTCGTCGTATCTGACGTTCATGAGGTGGACGGGGGCACGACCTTGCTGAATCATGCGCAGGGCGTCGGCGTTCTCTGGGTCGTCAAAGCGGCGGAGAGGACCGTCGTCGACACTGAAGCCGTCGCGCCAGAGGTGCAAGGTGCGCTCCTGGACTGCGACATTGGTTGCTGGAGCAGAGGGGGCAGGGCCCGAGGGATCGGGGATGGTTCGGCTGGCCACACCCTCGCCCCCCAGGGTCTGGCCGGCGCCGCGGAACGACGGCGGGGCGGATGGGCTCGTGGGTGAAGCAGCTTCAGGCCGCGGTGCTTGTCTGCGACGAGGCTGGTCAGCGGGTCCTCGCTCGAGGGGAGGGGAAACAGAGGAGCGCAAGGGAGAGACGGAAAGCATCTGAGGGAGGTGGGTGGGACTCACGATCGCGCCTTGGCCAGCAAGTCGTCCAGGATGCGCTGCGGATTGGACCGCTGGCTTGGGTCCTGCACAGCCAGGCCGCTTTTCTCGCCACCAGCGTAGGTGTCTCGAGTGCCGCGGGGGTCGTCGTCTTCATCCTCGCTGTCGTCGTCGTCGTGGTCATGACCGTGGCCTCCTCCGCCGAGCGAGCTCAGGGTGGCGAGACCTCTCTTCTTGGGCTGGGGGTTTCTGGACGCGGATGAGGAGGAGGAGGCAGCGGGGGTGGCGGAGCTGGAGTAGCCGGGGGCAGGGCGGCCGTCGAGGGTACGCGGTCCGGTATAGCCCGGGGGGACGGCGGTGGACGAGGATGCCGAGGGCTGAGCAGCCGCTGTGGGGGCCGACTGCTCAGCGTCGTCGTCGGCCTCGTCGGCGTCGGCCATGAGCGAGGCGGCGGCGGCGTCGAGGTCCCAGTTGTTGGCGGACAGGTACTGGGTGGCCTGCTCGGGAGTGGCATTGGGCACGAACTCCAAGAGCTGCATGACGAGCATGTCGTGGTCCGGGCTGTCTGCCATCGTGGACGGATGCGCGACTGGGTGTCGTGGGCGCCGGGGGTGTCGGATGTCAGAGGGATGAGGACAAGATGGCACGCAGGTGACAACGATGGGCCGGGGACGAGGGGCGCAACGATATTTGAGATGGTGGTCCGGAGACGTGAGGCGGATGGTGGGGTCCGGGATGACGAAAGAGGCTCCGGGGACACGTCGCTACGGCGGGGCACTGAAACGCAGAGAGATGGAGAGGAGGAGGCGGCGGCGACGGCAAGCCAGAATGAATGGCTGTTGTCTTGTCCCGGAGGCCGAGTCTGGATGGGCCACGTTGGTGAGGCCGCTTGTTTCCAGACGGGGATGGGGGAACCGATGAGAGGCGAAGATGGGGATTGGGAATGTATGGGCAGCTAACTTCTTGGAGGCAGTGATGTTAGATGGCGGAGCTTGTCCTGGCGTCACTGAACGGCGAGCTACAAGTCCGCAGTGCCTGCCCGCAGACTTCCAAGCTCCAGGCAGCTCCAGGCAGCTCCTGCGACGTCAAAGCTCCCCCGCAGTGGGTGTCCAGGTGGGCCCCAGGGGGTACCTAGGACTGCTAGGTAGTCAGCTTGGCAAGCTAGGTTGGCCAGGTACCCGTGGATCTTAGGGACCTCCAGACCCCCTAGGCGGAGGCTCCAGGGCTGCTACAGCGGATCATCGAGAGCCCGAGCTCCGCCTGACCGCTGCCCGGCCCAGCCGTTGACTCGTGCCCTGCCGTCTGCCCAGGTGCGGGAAGAGACAGCAGCGGCTGTAGACAACCTTGGAACTTAGGTATAACTTGGGTATGTACTGTAGAGACGCAGGAAGCCCTCCCGGCAAACAAGATCGCAACCGTCAACCATCCTATCCCACATCACGGCACTCCAGCCCAGCGGCCCGCCAAGCTCGGACAATCGAGACCGCCAGCCAGTAGCAGCAGCAGAAGCAGCAGCAGAAGCTGAAGAAGCAGCAGAAGCAGAGAGGAGGGAGGCGCCCGGTTCTGAGTTTCTCGAGTCGTCCATCCCGCCATCCCCCCGGTCTACCCGTCGATAGCCAGCCCACAGACACCCGCACCACCGCCATCCCGACGCCATGTCTGCCGCCGACGACCTGTCCTCCCACATGGCCGAGTCCGGCGTCACCATGCACTCCGACAGCGAGCAGTACTCAGCCGGCGAGGAGAACTCGACCTCACCCGAGTCGTCCTCCTCGTCCACCCCCATGATCCTCTACCAGCCCCCGACCATGTGGGGGCTCGTCCGCGGCGCCGCCATCAACCTGCTGCTGCCTTTCATCAACGGTATGATGCTGGGCTTCGGGGAGCTGTTCGCACACGAGGCCGCCTTCAGGTTGGGATGGGGCGGCACCAAGGTAAGGAAGAAGGAAGAAGGAGCACCCTCCCACAACTGCACCCGCCAGCGCTGACGCACCCACCTCCTCAGGTCTTCCCCATGTCCAGGAGGCAGGCACATCCCATCGGCCCCGGGCTCGAGATCAGAGAGAAGCCAGCGCGGCCACAGCCCGGGCTCCAGGACCTTACCAGCCTGGAATGAACCCCGACCGGGCCAGATAGGAAAGAGGCGCCGACGTAGCTTAGCCTCTGCCGCGGCCCTGGTGCACTGCCCTCTCGCCAACCCCGGCTCGGCCTGTGCGGTATCACTAGCTGCTGAACGAATGGCCTCAGTCGCCACCTTCGCCTGGGCAGTACACCACTGGAACAGTCCGCAGGCGGGGGATAGTTATGCTGGACAGGCGTGCATCTGGGACAGGAGCAGGAGCGGGAGCAGGAGCAGGAGCAGGAGCCGGAGCCGGAGCCGGAGCCGGAGCCGGAGCCCGAGTGGGAGAGGGAGAGGGACCGGCCAATGACTTTCTGCACATACTATGGTGGACGTGACTGCACACTCGTACATATTGTAAATACCACTCCGCGCAGACACACCAAAAATAATTACAGGTCGCCAGCGCTGGCCTCGGCTGGATCCAACACGTGGACGTCGACCACACCGTCAAGCTGACCGCACCATCTGCCGCCCGTGACCGTGGGGTGAAGGTCGCATATCACTCGGGGCTCCTTTCTATGCCATCCCAACGCCTCTTGGGCCCAAGTTAACTGCCCCTTGCCCGTAACCCGGCCTCCTGGGGTAGTTCCGCTTACCGGATATAGGCCCTGGCGTCTGGGCTCCAGGGGAAGCTCGGCGCCAGACCCGCTTAATTGCATGCATCCCCAGGCCCGTCTGTCCCGCGTCCGCGCGCGCCGGCCAAAAAATTTACCAGAAGTCGACCGACCGACCGCCGAACCGACTTGACATAGGCGCTCCCTCATACCGGGTCAGAAAACCGCAACACGCTGCCACGACATCCCGGTCCCAGTCGCAAGCATGTTGCCAAGCAGAGGCATCGCTGGCCTGCGCCCAGTCATTAGGCTGCCGCCGTCCTTGGTCGGCTCCAGACAGGTTCGTCGACTCTGTGCTCGCCATCGGGGGCCACAACCCAGACCTCTCTCCAGCCTTCGGAGCGTCCCGTGCTGACCATACAACCGCCAGATTACGTCGCGCCTGCGGGCCTCGGCCCGCCCGTTCTCGCAGCTGCAGCGCGCCGCCCAGTCGTCGAGGCCCTGGGCCCCCGCGCCCTCGGCCGCTCTGAGAGGCTCCGGCGGCGCGTTGCCCAGACTGGCAGCCGTTGGTCGCAATCCCGCCCGCGTGGGCGTCGCTGCCGGCGCCTCCAGGTCGCTCTCGCTGTGGCCGTTCGGATCCAAGCCGCAGCAGCAACCCAACGAGCCCAAGGCCGAAGCTGCCCCTACCCCTTCGATGGACCAGACTTCGACAGCTCAGCCTACGCCGCCTCCCGTCGACCCCCAATCGTCGGCCTCGCAGCTCTCCTCCGTCCACGAGACGTCGATCCCGCAGCGCGATCCCATCTCGACATCATTCTCCCCGGAGACCTTCGCCGATCTCGAGGCGTCGTCCATCCTCGACATCCCCGAGCAGATTGGCTACCTGAAGCACCTGGGTCTCGACTTTGGCTGGGGCCCGACCGCTGTATGCCAGTGGCTCGTCGAGCATGCCTACATCTACACGGGTCTCCCCTGGTGGGGTACCATTGCCCTGGTGGCCGTCGCCGTCCGTGTTGCTGTCTTCTGGCCGGCCATGGTTGGCTCCAAGCACTCGGCCCGCATGGCTCTCCTCCAGACGGACCCCGAGTACGTCAAGGCCAATGCCGAGATGAAGGAGCTGATGTGGAACCCCGAGGCCGACAACATGCAGAAGATGAAGGCCCGTGCCAAGGTCATGGCCCTCACCAAGCGCCAGGGCGTCTCCATGTTCAAGACGGTCGTCACGCCCCTCGCCATCGTCCCCTTCAGTTACGGCATGTTCCGGCTCCTGCGCTCCATGGCTGCCTTGCCCGTGCCCAGCCTCGAGACGGGTGGCTTCGCCTGGATTTCTGACCTGACCGTCTACGATCCCACCTATGTCCTGCCTCTGGCCACCGCCGCCATCAGTTTCCTTACCATGAAGCAGACCCAGCAGGCCAACCTGAACCCGACCCCGCAGAGCGTGTCCATGGGCAAATTCTTGGCCTACGGCCTGACGCCCTTGATGTTCGTGTGCACCATGTGGTTCCCCGCTGTCGTCCAGTGGTTCTTCTTTATGTTCGCCGTAACCTCCACTGCCCAGACAACGGCCGTGCTGAACCCTGCCGTGCGCCGCTGGGCCGGGATCCCTTCCCTGGCAGAAAAGCCCGCGCTGCCCTCCGCCACCATCGCCACGTACCAGGCTCCCACGCCCGGTGGCTTCCGTGGCCTGCTGGACGGCGCCAGCAAGAATGTAGCAAACATGCAGAAGGGCATCGAAGACTACACGGGCGGTGCCGCCAAGGCGTCCGCGAGGAAGGCACAGGAATACGAGAAGAAGAGGGCCCAGGAGGAGAAGGAGAAGGCTCTGAATCGAATGATTGAGCATCGGAGAAAGAAGCTACACAGACAGGACGGCTCCTCGTAGCCAATGACGCCGCAAGTAGCTTACTGCCGTGGTCTGCTCCGGCTCTCCACGACGGAGCTGTGTATAATCATGCATGTATCATATTCAAGCGGAAAGTCGCGGTTCGGCATACTGTAGTAGTAATCCGGGGGCAGCCTTGACTGGAAGATCTCGCTATAAATGCGCGTGGAAGATGACCTCGGCGGGAGGAGGAGGTTGCTGCTATGTACATAGATATCAACTTGAGGGGATGACATTAGACCAGCTTGTTAGTCTTGGCAAGATCGCGAAGGACCGCAGGGCCCATTAGATGATATTCAGACAACTGGAGAACGTTCGCAACTTTAAATAGATATCATGTACACAGCCCTGCATTCTCATAGACCTGCTGATATCCATGGGCTCGTCACCCTGCATATCGAACTAGTCCTATCAGTACCCTAAGCCAGCAAAATGCTCCATAGAAATCACCATTACCCCTCGTCCACAAATGCACGAGCCAAATAATACGATATATCGCCCGTTGTTGCTCTCTGGAACCCAGATTGGGAGGGAACATCTATGTACAGTAAGCCATCCTCTTTTTGGGGCCTCGTGCCCGTATACAGGCCGAAGAAGACGGCTGCTTTGCATTCACTCGTGTTCCTTTAACGAAGATGCACAAGACGTATGCTGTGGCATGTCTCCAGTTTGCCACAAGTCACTAGAATATCATGTTCCATATTGTATATACGAAATTCTTAACGAGGTAAGAGAAACAGCTACTTGGAGCTGGCCTTTGCCATTGGGCTACGCACAATGAGCCAGGCCGCCAATTCCAGCAGTGTCTCATTCCTAATGGACTGGTCTTCAGCAGTAGATTGGAGTATAAGTGTACATGAAAGACTCGTCGTAACCGACTAGGACTCCGCACCTCTGGAGGGCGGCGTACTTGGCATAGTCTCCAAGACGTCGTCGTTATATACCATAAATCCTACCAGGTGTCTTGGTATTTTAGTTCAGGAAGGGGCATCGAGGCTTGTGAGGTCGCTCGCCGGACACACAAGGCTATCTCAGTGTCGTAACCTCCTGACTATGAGCTCTGAGCAAGGTGGTAATTACCAATAGGCGGCTGCCAGCTGCCGAATGCGGCTGACATGCGAACCGAAGAAAAATACCCCCTGGGCGCCTCGTGTCGTGTCAGTTCTGAAGCGTCCTGCGGTGCATCCCTGAGTACGAATCACTACTCAAGATGGTTGGATCTCCCACAAACGTCTAGAACCCCAAACCTTGCCAGCGAGCAGCGGCTTGCCCCTATGCGGCCTAGACCTTGGGGCTAGTGCAGGACCGCTCACGGCCGGCTCCATGTGTAGATCGGAAGCTAACTTGAGTCGCCAGCAGCTTCAACCACGATTGAGCAGACTTGCCAGGACCAGCTTTCAAGCAATAACAGAAGTCTCCGCAAGTCATGTGTTCGGGAGCGGCAAGTCATGACAAGAGGGCCTGGCGCGCTCCCAAATCTAACATTTCCATCAGCTTGCGCTTGTCAGCATGCAGTGATAGCCACGAGACGGAGCTCTATCATGTCGAAGCTGGGAGTTCCGGTCCTAGAAGCTCTTGGCTGGGGACAACTAGGTATTGCCTCTTCTTGATGTTGCTCATGCATTCTCATGCTATTATTCTAGCCGGGCTTCTTGAGACGAGGGGCACAGCCAGTAGTATAGGAAGCGTCATCCAATTGTATCCGAGCTTCGTTCAGTCTCGTCATGATCAGGTCCCGTACATCTGGTCTTGTGCCAAGCCAAGTTTGTATTGCAGCCGTTATTTTGTGCCATACATTGTTATGTAGTTGGTAGATATTGCAAGCACACCTCGGAGGGATTTCCTTTATAGCATTACACGGGGAAGTGCCATTCTTCAGATCATCGTCGGGTTTCCCAATCCGTGACGGACCTTTTTGCTAGCCACATTTCTTGCATGCTTGGCTGTGGATTATGGGTACCATCCAGAGACCTAAATGTCAGGCTAGCTGCATCTAGTTCCGGATGATCACGATTGCTCCCTCGTTCACTTCGGAGAAAATTACTGCAGATCCTGGTCGTAGGCTTTACTTGATCCTTTCTGAGCTTTGGATAACATGCGCTTCAAATCTCGAACGGGTCCGAGGGTGTTGTCAAGCATCGTCAACGTCCAATATTCCCAGTCTGGAGTCTCCATCAACGGCGTACCTACATATGCTAGCAAAAATTAGACTAATCTGATGTGGTCCGGCTGCCACAGCACATGAAGCTTGGGCCATGTGATCTACGTGGGGTGACTCGAGTCCTGGTAAATCGGGTGTGGAGGTTTGCGTGGGTGCATCCGTCAAGACAAGGGTATCGTTACTTACATGATTGTTACCCAGCACGACAAGTTGTGTGACTGGGTACCGTTGATGACCAGGCAGTCTCCTGAAGGGTTCGCTGCTTCATGGCGCGAATGCCTGTCTTGTCGCATGTGAAGACGACCCTGGCCCAACGGCGGATTGCTTAGATCACCGCGCTCCTAGGCCCCTTTCCTAGGTCAATCTAGGAATCGTACGACACGACAATTCACTCGCTCGGCCCAGGCTCCGGGGCGACAACTGGCGACAAACGCTAGACAAGCAAGATAGATGGCTTTGCACACGGAGAGTTCAGAAGCAGAATGAAAAGTCACTCTGCCAGCGGCGACGCGTTGGTAACCGCAGCATTCGTGTACTGCGACTCCCCCCCGCCATATCCCTTACCAACCCTCCCACAGAGTTGCCATCCCAGGGGCCCTGACATCCCGGCAAGGCGGTTCCTGGAGATCAAGAGATCGCTTCGACATCCCGTAGTTGGCTTTCCCTGAGCCCCAGGGATCTTGAGTCGGGACCACGATGGGGCACCACTGCCCAACCACACTTGGTCGAAAGGGGTGAGGTGCTCCCTAGGACAGGGGCCGGTCAATTGAAATTAAAAAAGACTTTCAAACCGATTGCCCGGATTCCTAGCGCCGAGTTGGTAGACTATTCAAATATTGCATGGCCAGCTACGAAGCTCGACCGGGCTCGATCGTCTCTGTTCCCTCTTTCCTGCCGGCACTGCTGTCTATACGTCTGTTTGCTTGGTGTTGATGTCCAACGGCCGCCTCTGCTCCCCGTGATCTTCAGCGACTGCGACTGCCAGCCCCCTCCAGCGCAGAAGGCGGACTGACGACGTCTCCTCGAAAGGGAACAGGGAACGACAGTTTATGACCTACAGCCGACGGTCCCAGCCAGCCAGTGGACGCTGCCATCGTGTGCTGCTCGACGTAGCATTACCCAGCCGACTGCGTCTCCGGGCTCGGTACTGCGACAGACGAACGCGGCCCGTCAGGTCTCCTTCTGCATCACTTCTCGAGTCTTCCCGGCCAGCAGAGGTCCCCTGAAATTTTCATCTTCAGAGCACCACCCATAGCAGCACCCGGGTCACCCGACTCGCGCGCTACTGTAACCACCCACACCACTTTTACCCCACATCCCCTCACAGGCAGCTCGAGCTTGTCGCTGCATCGGGCCATTCGGATCACTGGCACGACCCTTCCGCCTTCAGGCTCCCAACGAATCAAAGCAGACCGAGTAGGCCGACGAGCAAGTCAGTACGCCAGGGGGTGCTGCAACAGAGCCAAAGCGAACCATGGGCCTCTTCTCCAAGAAGCCAAAGCCACCCAAGTCGGCCGGCAAAGCGCTGCCCGGCGACACTCACTCCACCACCAGCTTCTCCGATCATGAGGCTCTCAAGTCGCCCATCAGCGCTACGGCGCGCAACATCAACCGCGCCTCCGGAGGCACGGCCACCAGCAGCGTCCCGTCCACCCCGCTGACCCCCTTCTCGCCCATGGTCCCGCGAGTCGACATGCCAAAGGCCCCAGACCCGAACCTCGATCCCGCCGCCTATCTGCGAAGTCTGGGTTCTGTCCGAGAGAGATCCAAGCTTGTGACGGAGAAGGCGCTGAAGAACTCCCTTGCCCACTTTGATGTGGACATGGATAGATTTCCAGACGTGGTGTCTTTTGTCTGCGGGATAATCAAGGTGAGCTTCCGCGCGGGTGTTCTCTCTCTCCCTCTGTCTCTTCCTCACTCTGTGTGCCTCTTCTCGGGGGAGCTACCCAATCATTCGGGTGTGCCTCAGACTAACCCGTTGGCCTACAGAGAGACTATGACGCCCCCTTTTCCTCAATTCCTTCGCATGGACGCTACCAGCATTTTTCCGTCGGGGGACGGGACCGGATTCAGAATTTGATGTCGACATTCAGCGATTCTATTGACACAACCGAGAAGTGTCGCAGGCTGATTGACCTCTTCCTCGTTAGTGTACTTCTCGATGCTGGCGCAGGGACCTCATGGAGTTTCAAGAGTGCCGAGAACGGCAGGGTGTATAAGAGATCTGAGGGTCTCGCAATTGCAAGTCTAGAGATGTTCAAAGCCGTAAGTCTTTCTTAAATTATAATTCCTTTTTCTTTTTTAGGGGGCTTCTGGTTGATGGAGTTTACTGCATCTGGTAGATCCTTGTCAGAGGTGCCTTTTGGCTAATATTTTCTTTTTCCCACCTTGAAGGGTCTTTTCTCAGGCAACTCGAGTAACAAATTTCAAGTCGACAAGAATGGTCTCCGTAGTTTGACTGTCGCCCAACTAGCCAAAGGCGTGCAGTCTCGTCCGGGGAGCGAGCTTGCGGGTCTGGAGGGACGGGCCGAATTATTGGTCAAATTGGGCCATGCCTTGGACCAAAAGAAAGAATATTTCGGTGACAACGGGAGACCCGGGAACATGATCGGTAAGCAACCCAAGCTGTAGACTCGTGGATTCTTAGCTTACAAGGAAACAGATTACCTGCTATCACATCCGACAACCCAGGCCTCCTCAATGCCCATCGTTGTTCTTCCCGTCCTTTGGAACCTGCTTATGACTGGCCTTGCTCCCATCTGGCCATCCTCGCGGACAGCCATCGACGGCGTTTCCCTTGGCGATGCCTGGCCCTGTTCCTCTATGCCACAGCCTGCCACATTGCCTTCTTCCCCAAGTTTTTCACCATTCCCCAACTCACAGCCACCTACAGCGCCGTGGGAATCCATACTCCCTTTTCATAAACTGACCCAATGGCTCACTTATTCACTCATGCAGCCGATGCAGTCACTGCTCAAGATCCACTTTGCCGGGGCAGAGATGCTGACTGGGCTGCCCGAGTATCGCAACGGAGGCCTCTTTGTCGATCTCGGCGTGTTGACCTTGAAGAAAGATGATCTCGACCGAGGATTACAGTACTATAAAGACTACTGCGTGCGCAAGGAAACAAAAGGTGTCGAAGTGGCTCCAATGTTTGAGCCCAGTGACGACGTCATTGTCGAGTGGCGTGGTGTCACGGTTGGGTTCTTGGACAAGCTTCTAGTAGACGTGAACAGAGCGCTCCATAAGGAACTGAACGGCGGCGAACTCACTCTCCCACAGCTACTGGAGGCTGGGAGCTGGAAGGTACGTCTTGGTTAATGTGGTGATTGGACCTGGATACTAACACAGATCACAGGGTGGTCGAGAAATCGCCGAAGTAAGCCGGCCGAATACGAAAGAGCCCCCCATTCTGTTGGATTCCGACGGGACTGTGTTTTAGACGTCGCCGTATCGCCGTCTCACGGAGACAAGTGTTTTCAAGCCTTCTTACATGATTGATGACGGGAAAATTCAGTTGATACTCAAATACCACAGGTGTAAATTTGGTTGGATATTATCTATCTGCCGGGTCTAATGTATACACATGCGAATCTACTGCGATAACAGGTGAACATACGTGCCATTAGCGTAGTGGTCTGTGACTCCATAGAGAGCTAGCCCCCCGAGCTTGGTGACGTGTTCGGTTTCTGGTTAAATCTCCTGGTCATGGACTGTACACGAAAAGTGATACAAGGCTTACAAGAATAGCTAAAAGGCTTTGCCAAGTCTCCGACTGGTGACCGAAGCTGTCCATGTACACATATATATCCATTTCCTTTCGCGTGCTGACTGAAGCATCGTCGAGGTGTTCTTTGCCTATGACTATGCAATTAAGGACAGATAACTTGCAGTTCTTTCCAGCCAGAATGAGCTTGACTATTCAATTATACAGTCTCCGCCAACGCCTACCACGGAATGACCTTGCCCACGGGGAGTGTGTGGGGTAAAACAACACACCAATTGCCTCAGATCAAAGTGCCAATACGAAAAGACTCGCAAAAGCTACTGTTCGGTTGACAACCATCACACCCCGTGCTGTAGACTGTCTTTCATTCTACAGCCTGCCAAAGTCCAATTCGGACATTTCATCAATCGAGTGAACATCATGTTCTAGCTTTAACACGAAACATCTGCTTTCATGTGCGAGCTATTCTTAGAATGTGAGGTCCCTACGTAGTGCAGGAGCAGGAATGCGGGTTGTTCGGTTAGCCACGGACCCGGTGTTCAGTTCAAGTTATGTCCGCTTAACCCCGTGCATGTCATCTTCAGATTGTTGATCACAAGGTCAGGAGCGATATCAGTTCAGGAGCTTTCAGCCTCGCCCACGTCTCCAACCTTCGAAGCTCATTTACCATGGATTTTCGATTCGTGAACGGCCTAAATCCTGATAAGACCACTAGAAGGTCGATACGCAGTCATGCAATGAAAGGCAAGAACGCGGGGAGGACGCTGCGCCGTCCGTCTAGAACTGGGCTACCCATAAGACGCTGTATACGTGTATACCCGACGAGTCGAAAAGTTACTGCAGCTTCCAATCAGCCCGCGGACCTGGAAGAACGCCTTCTTGCGCAAGGCCCAAGCAACTTTGGCAATGCACTAGTGGCTTGCTCCTTGCCAGTAGAGCTCACTACAGTTTCCCTACAGGTGATCAATCAATGTAAGCCTCCATTGCGTGAAGGCCATGCCGAGCATAAGAAACTCAGAATTACGCGACACAGTTTTCAGCTACGTTGTGGAGAAGATGTATCCTTCGCGACTTGGCTTGATACCCGAAGAGGCCAAATATCTTTGGCTGCGTGTGATGTTTACAGATGAGACTTGTATGCGACCTCCTTGAGCTTCTATAACTTCACCTGACGTGCGAAAAAGCTTTCAAGGGCAGTGTTGCTCTGATGGACGCTTGCAACGAATTCTTTCTGGACGGTAGTCCTCGCTCGCCCAATGGCCTGCACCATCTTTCGCTAGCTTTAGGGCTTGTCAGGCAGAGAATAGGAAGTGACCAAGCGCTATCAGACTCTACAATATCCCTGGTGGTGTCAATTATTATCCAGGAAGAGATTCGGAATGAGTTTGCAGGGGCTGAAGTTCATTTTGCGGGACTGAGAAGGATAATTCAGCTTCGCGGTGGCTTAAGTCGACTCGAAGGAAACTTGCCTCTACTATTGAAAATTTGCAAGTGAGTTGTTACTCTCCACGGCTCAAAGGGCCGCAAAATAATGGCGTTCTACTGTAGGTTAGACATCTGCCACTCGCTCCACAACGGAAATCAGGTGACTTTCTTCCGGAACTGTCTCCCTCGAATGCAGTCATGGCCTCTCCATGATACTGTGGGCCACAGAAACCTTGACTCATACCTACACAAGATTCTGTTGGATATCTTACATTTCGCGACAGAACTTAACATTCGACCAAACACGCCGGTGTATGACTTGATTTCCTTCCAAGAGATGGTTGTATCGTTTTGTAGTCGATTGATTCGGTTTCAACCCCTAGGAGCTCCTTCTCAGGCCTCCCGTCGAGACTCTATCTACCACATTGGGCTTGTGATATTTATGATGACTGTACTTCTTCAGTACGACAATCGCCGCGTCTGGTATTACCCGCTTGTTACTCAGCGTCTTCAGAATTTGATAACAAACAAGCCTCCAGAGAGAATGGGAGCCCATGACGAGGACCTACTACTTTGGGCAATGTTTATTGGGGGTATTTGGATTTTGGTTAAGGGCGATGAACATTGGCTCCTTTCAGAACTGCGAGGCTTAGTTATCGCGCTGGATATTAAGTCTTTCCACGAGGTTCTCCACCAGATTCAAAGGTTTCCTTGGATTAGAGCACTGCACGATAATGCAGGACAGGCAGTATGGGAGTTAGTTCAATAGGGACTCAAATTGTCATACAATTTCCCAAGATTTAGGCAGTTCACCATGCCCTGGCTGGTTCTCCCTGAACTATCCCGATGTCCCGTAGCTACCACACAAATGTCTCTTTCACAAGACCCTCCGAGATCTTCCACATCTTGTCGGCCTCAGCACTTGAGACTGCCGGTGGGAGGGCCAGGTCGCTGATCTGGCAGTCCCACAGGAATGCTCCAAAATTCTCCTTCTTTCCTTCTCTGCTTTCGGGCGGACCGAGCTTGGGGTCGAGTGCTGCAACTAGAGTGGTTGAGGCTCCAGCCGCTTGACTCTTCCAGGTGTATGTCCCTTCTTCTGCCATGTTCATAATTGCAGCCATGACATGCGGTGGTGCAGATCGACCCAGCTCAGTCTGTATTACCCCAGGGTGCAACGCTAGGCCGAGGATGCCGTATCTGCTGAACAACCTCTCGGTGAGTCCTATTCCAAAGAGAACATTTGCTATCTTGCTTTGGTTATACCCCTCGAGCGGGAGATATGACTGATCTTCTGGGTCCTTGAACCCCCAATGCCGTAGCATATCGTAATTGGGCTGCTCATACGCAGGCAAGTCCTTGTTCAGCTTCTCAAAGTTCAGATCGCTCCAACGCATGGTTGCCATCGTGGGGGAGGCAGAAGCCACGTTGATCACGCGTGTTGCCCCCTTTACTCTACTGGCATTTGCAGCTTTAATTAACTTAGGCAAGATTAGATTGGTGAACAAGAAGTGGCCAATATGGTTCGTGGCAAACTGTATCTCAATGCCGTCATCGTTGATGGTTCGCTCGGGGATGTTCATGATAGCAGCGCTGTTGACAAGAATATCAACTGCCGGAACATCTTCCCAGGATAGAAGCTCGGCAGCCGCCTTGCGAACAGACTGCTGACTGCAAAGGTCGATCTCCAGGGCACGATAGTCCACGTCAGGGAACTTGGATTTGAGAGCATTGATGCTTTCTTGCATCTTTAATGGAGTACGACTGGCCACTATGAGATGGGCTGGAGATTGGGAAGCCTGAAAAGTTAGTTCAAATTGCAAGCGATCTAAGTTTAACGTACTTACAAACGCCTCGGCAGTCGTGAACCCGATGCCACCTTGATTGACACCTGTGACAACGATTGTTTTGCCCCGAACGGACTCTGCAAGGGCCTGAGCAACCTCGAGAGCCTCGGTCTTGTCATTGAATTCGGCGTGGGTAGTACCAGTCATTTTGAGGTATTCCTATCGGGTATGATGGATATTAAGTGAGTTTGTAGTGTCGTTGATTTGTTTGATGATTGAACCATGCAGATTTGTTAAGCACGCAAATTTGGTCTCCGGGAAATGCCATTTTTATACTTGGGCGGCTCCATACTTGAATAGGTATCATTCGGCCACCAACGGCCAAACCAAGAGCCCGATCTCTGCAAGGGACGATGGAAATTGGAGTTACCATTACGGACTTTACTGACTTGGAGGGGCGCCACGTGAACCTGCTGAGTCTAAGCCTCCGGCCAACCAATAAGAGACTTGGTACCTCTTCCGGTATAGCGCGGTTCGTCGGCTATGGGGTCCTGGCCAATGGAAGACTTACTACCAAATGCGGTAAAGTTTGAGGGAACTGCCGCACGTCTTGTATGGCCACCGCTTTGTCATTATGCTTCCTCTGCATTTGTTTTGTGACTTGCCCTTCTATATGTGCCTCGACTAGTGCAAACAGATTACACTGAGATGTAGATGATTGTCGGGCCGGTCAAAATCTAGCTCAGTTGCTTTCATGTGTGTGGTCATATCTTCTGACGAATACCGCCCACTATTTAAAATAAAACACGCCAGTAGGAAATTGACAAGGATTCAAATACAATCTTCCGTGCGTCGTGTAGCTCGAATCATGAGATGCGGCTTTCTCCATAACGTATGCATTCGGGAATCCCCTTGCCAGTCCACCGATTTGTTTACCAGCTCAAAATCATACATCCATACCATTTTAGCCAGGGTTGTGCGCATTTCCATCCACGCAAGGCTGCAATGACCGTCAGCAGCAACTTTCAGGAGGAATGGTTGAAGGCAACTCACTTGCGGCCAATACATGCCCTAGAGCCAAGACTAAAGGGCTGGCTTGCTGCTCGATTGTCAATGGAATCCTTTTCTAGCCATCTCTCAGGTTTGAAGTCGAATGGTTGATGAAAGTTGGTTGGTGAGAGACATGCTGCGAGGGGGTTTGTGGACACAGTAGCCTAAAACCGGGTTAGATAGATCTTCTCCTTCAAAGGGTCATGGAACCAGTTGGCGGTATATACGTGCCCCTTGCGGTATGAAGCAACCGTCAATGATAGCACCGCCTTCTGGAACTATCCTTGGAAGTCCGAGAGGCAGCGGAGGATAGATCCTCAATGCCTCTTCGATCACAGCCCCTAGATACTTCAATGGCACAGTTGCGGTATTGCTGATTTCATCATACTGTGCAAAGGATTGTCTAACCTCTGTGGTCAGCTTTGCCATTACCGCGTCATCTCTCAAGAGATAATGTAGGCATGTTGCGAGCGCAGTTGCACTGGTGTCACTTCCAGCCACTACCAGGTCTGATGCATGGGCAGCAATCTGTCTGTCTGAGATGGCAGACTTGTCTCTTTCGTCCAGTATACGTGTCAAGAAGTCACTTCTGGTACCGTCGGCAAGGATTCGCCTACTGATTGTCACTAGTGAAAAGTTACGAATGAATGCAGAAGTCTTACCTTTTGATTATATCCAGGGCGAGATATTCATTTTTGCGCGTATCCGCAGTCATCATTTCGATCTTGTGGCGTAGCACAACCTTGCAAAGTTTGGCAATGGTGGGAAAGCGATTGAACACTTCAACTAGTGCGCCTTGGGCCAATGCACCGAGCGAAATCGAAATCCAGGGGTGGTACTGATCTGCCAAGATAGTCATTTCAGTATAGAGCAGTAACGTTTTGGAAATTCAGCTTACCGTCTCTGAGGCAATTGAAACTTTGACCAAAGGCCAGATCGCCGGTTATATCAAAGGTCAACATCTCAAGCAAAGCGACAACATCAAAACCAGCAGGCAGTTCGCTCTTAAGCCCTGCAAGCTCAATGAAACGATCTACGTTCATGGAGATGAGGCCTTGCTGTTCTTTGAAAGACCTATCAGAAAAGGCACCCGCAAGATAAGATCGCATCTGACGGTGGATGGAAGGATCCCGCTCGCTGACTATCGATTTAGTTCCTATGCCAGCATAGCTGCCACCGTCGTAGAACCTCCCTTTGACGAGAATCTTTCGGTCGGCACGATGGCCATATATGTCCTGCCATGATTGAGCAGAGTTGAACGACAGTTCGTCCGGACTGACTCTCACGATTGGTCCTGGTACTGTATAAGTGAAGGTATTAAGCCCAATGAATGGTTATCTCACCATACTGGGCGTGAAGCTCTGTCATCTTGTAGGGCTGTCTCCCACCTAGGAACCATGCAGCATATGGCACCTGCCGAGGTATTAGCGATACTTTGAGATTAATTTGAGATGCGTGAAATCACTCACATTCGTGACCTTGCACAAGATTGGCCCCGGAAATTTTGAAAGAGGATGAATCCAGGCATTGTAGATGACTCGGTACGCACAATAGATGATAATCTGGTAGAGCCTTAGTTGGGGACTTCTCAACGAAACAGAATTGAACGTACACTGCCGACCACCGCCCAAGTAAGCGAACGTAGTAGAGACATACTGATGACGAACATTTCGATGGCTTTCCCCTGGAAATGTGAAGTTTAGAAATTAAGAGTAGAGAAAGACCTAGTGGAGACAGAATGACGGACTTTTGTTCTCATGTGGAGGCACTCTCAGCTTAGAGTGAGTGGCGTCTTTGGTAGATTCCTTCCACGAAATATTGGACTTAAGAAGAAACCTAAGACAGACTGGGCTAGGGTCCTGGAGGGCTGTGAAGAGAATCTGATCTCTTGGCATGTGCCACGCCACTACTGGCGCCTCATTCGTTTGGCCTCCAAGTGTGCCTAAGGGCAGGAACCGGGTGTGCTCACCCATCCACAAGGAGTAGGCGCTTCATTGGACCTTGTCATATGCACTGTGATCACCTCAGCTGAACCGCTCAATGAAAATGCCTAGTGGAGTTCTATGTTGGTCACTGGCCCCCATCATAGTGTGCTGTGGACATGCCGCAACTCGGATGGAGAGCAGATATAAAAGGTATGAAGACCCACGTCAATGACCTACCTAATGCATTAGATTTCAAGTCTGAAAACATAGTCAAGGTACGATTTAGGTCGGTCTTCATACCATAATCCGTGCTGGATCTCTCATTGAATACCTAAATTGCCTTCTTCAACATGGTCGGCCGACGCAGCATACGGTTGGGTTCCACTCATCCACCAGAGAGTTTGTTCGACTCTCGCTGCCATCCATTGGTAGACAGAGTATCCCAACTGGTCGATGAATACTTTCTAGGACGTTGGCCGTTCCCCGACCCAGCCAGTCGAATACGTTTTGTGAAGTCTGGTTTTTCCAGAGTTACTTGTCTCTACTTCCCGTTGTCTTTGGATGATAGAATCGAATACGCTTGCCGACTGCTCACATTGCTGTTCTTGATCGACGGTTCGTATTACCTACCAAACCACATGACCAACTATTGACACTTCTCAAGATCTTCTTGAGGATATGTCATTTGCGGAAGGCGCAGCATACAATGAACGACTGATGCCATTGGCGAGGGGTACCACACTTCCGGATCAGTCATCGCCCGTTGAAGTCATGATGTATGAACTGTGGCAATCCATGAGGAATGTGGACAAAACCTTGGCCGATGAAGTCCTAGATCCCATGTTCGACTTCATGAGAGCGCAGACGAATAAGGTACGGGCCACGAACATGGGTCTTGGTCAATACCTCAAGTACAGGGAAGATGATGTGGGACAAGGGTATGTCACCCGCCCAACCTCTCGGGTCCCTAGGGCTGACAGCGCTTATGCAGGTTATTAAGTGCATTAATGCGGTTCTGCATGCACCTCCAGCTCTCACCTTCAGAATCCGAGCTTCTTAGACAGGTTGAGTCAAACTGTTCTAAACACCTCGCTGTTGTGAATGATATTTGGAGTTTTGAGAAGGAACGTGCGGCCGCGAAAGCTGGCCATAGAGAAGGGGGAGTTTTGTGTTCCAGCGTCTCCATTGTCGCTCAAGAGGCGTCGGTGTCTGCTGCCGCTGCAAAGCGAACTCTGTATTGTCTGTGCCGTGAATGGGAGCATTATCATATGGAACTAACGTCGTCAATACTCAAAGAAGCCCAAAGCCCACACGTCAAGGCATACATTCAAGGGCTCGAATACCAGATGAGCGGTAACGAAGCATGGAGCAACTCAACTTCTCGCTACAACGGCTAACTTAGATCGGGAGCCTTACCTATGCTCGCACGAAGGAAGGCCCCGCAACTAGCACTAGACTAAGATAGTGTAGCACGCCCTTTCCCACCCCCCCCCCCCCCCCAAAAAAAAAAAGGAAAAAAAGAAAAAAAACCAAACTAGACTGAGATCAGTAACAATGTACTATTTGAATTGCATGCGTTGACGGGCAAGCCAATCTCAAACCCAAAGGGAATAATGTGATACGATGGCAAGTTTCGTAAGCTGCAATAGAGCCTGGTGGGGAGCCCCAAGAAGGAATCTAGTGCCTGCCTAAATATCCTTGCCTTTCTCCGCGAATAAGCATGGTCACTAGGATCATCACGAATCACGGGTGTGCCAAGTCAATGTGATGTAGCACATTCGGAGCACGATTGGCTGTCACCTACAACCGGAGTCACCTGATGATGAGCCAAGCTGATTCTTTTTCTCAACATATACGAATGCATCGACCAATCGCGGCAACTGAAGGCACACAACGGGTTATATGTAACCTGCTACTCAGATGCAATGTCTCGAGACGGCTTGCAGTGTAGGCATTCGCCGCACAATGGCTGATAGGGCTGACGTCAGTGTGACCTTAGTGTCCAGGGCTGTGATAGCTTCCGAGAGTTCGGGTCGCAACTTCATTGGGTCATGGATTTCATGTGGATACTGATGCGATAGGAAGGAACAGAGTCATAACACTGTATCATGATCGTATTCACATGATGCCCCCAATGTGGCTTCAATCATGGGGCGAAAGGATTTCCTAGGATCCTGCAGGTTCTTTTTGTGGAATGTTGCTCAGGTCACACGGCCTTATTCAATAGTTCAGGAAATAGGTTTGAAATAGGAATCGCGTGTGAGGATAGGCATCCACTACGAAAAGCATCCACTGATCCTTATTGGCACCATCTTGTGTGCCTCAGAACTTGGACGAAAACCCTGGCATTGCGAATGATGCAACCCTTCCAATCCCCTGGGCGATAGGCTGAGTTTGCTGGCCGGCTTACCGCGATACAAATTAAGTACGCATATTGTGCAATTCCTTGATTTGTACTATCGAAGGACCACGGCTCCGCCTGCAACCGCCAGGTTTCCGGCTGCGGCCTAAAGATGCCATTGGATCCTAATGGTAAGCTTACTGGGAGAGATTCGCACGGCAATTGTGTTTGAACTTGATTCAAAACGCGGATGAGAGAATATAAATGAATCGATATTGCCTCGACTCAAAAGGGCTGACCGCGAGCGGAGATTCAGACGCTGGCGCAACCATTCCATAACACTGTAAATGCAATCGAAGATTAAGGTCTTGACATTCATCCTATACACCAAGTAATTCCCCACTCTATATACCGCAGTCAAGTAAGTCCAACTCGTGAGAACATTGCATCTGACATCTTATATCCTCCTGTAACCATAAAACATCTTGAACATCCGGTCTTTCTGCCCAGGAGTGAACTCGTTCGTACTGTCACAGATTCGTTAGCAGGCGCCATACTCCATTTTGCGGGCGTATCAAATCCCGCATGATGAACGAATGTAAACATACCAGTCATCACTAGTGTAACCCATGAAGTTGTGGATCGGATCCGTGCCAGGCAAACTCGGGCATGAATCCGAATTGGCGGGACAGCCATACACAGTCGTTCCTTGTGCGGGGGTATCAGTGACATAGTCACCCACGGTGTCTGAACAGCCTCCAGCAAAAGTATGGTTCAAACCGAACCAGTGTCCTGTTTCATGGACTGCGATATGGCCCTGATTCCAATCCGCGAATGCGCCCTGCTCGGCCGTGATGCCGGGCATTGTCTTCGCGCTGATTTGGCAGGAGTCTTTGTAGAATACCGGAGTACCAGGTACCGCAGAAGTGGTAGGAAACTGGCAATATCCAGTTGCACCGGGCGAATAGCTGCTGAAGAAGTACAAGTTCAGAGTGTCATACCCGCCTCGGCGCGACGCTGCCAGATATGCATTGTATTCCGCCTCGTGATACATCCATCCCCTTTCCGGGCCCTCATTTACCAAGAACGCTGACCCAGTCAAGTTGTCAACGATACGTGTTGTTGAATTAAGCACAAGTTCGATAGAATATCTTGCATACGTCTCATGCAGTACCTGCCACTGAGCATCCACGATAGTGTCGGTGATGAGGTCCGCCTCCGCCTCGGTACTGGCGATGTGGAAGTTTACATCCACAGTAAGCTTGTCATGGTTGTTTTGAGGTTGAAGAAGCTGGTTGTCGGTGTACTGGAGCGCCGGATCTTGAATGAGGCCTAAGTCGGAGACTAGACATCCTCGAGGGCTCGGCACTGGCTGCTTTGTCCCGGGTGATGCGCTACAAAGACCCAACGGCGTTAAAATAAGTAGTATTCTCCTCATACTTACAGGTTCTCGGCTGTACAAACGGGTGCTGAAGCTGTTACATGGTCGACAAGATTGGAAAGAGCAGGCGTTGATTTATGTATTGATGTTTGTGTTATGTCTACCCGGTAGGCATGCTGCATGCAGTTTTCCTCCTCGTATTTCTGCTGTTTCCACTCGTTTTGATATGATTGGCTGAATTATCGGCTCATGCAGCAGTTTTCAGTCGCTATTTCCGCGATCCTTGCAAGCTACCAGAAAAATAGGACTTGGCACTAGTTTCCCATGTAGTACTAAGCGAGAATGTCTTTAGACTGGTATATGCAGCATCGTTTGCACATTCGTTCATACTGTTTCCATGGGAAGCGTACTTCAGTCAGAGGTTACTACTGCAACTGAGCCTACGACTTGAGGTTGGAATACTTAGATGCTTGATGGTAGTCATCTCCATTATGGGTACTGTCCACATAAGTAAGTCGTCGTAGCGCGCAGTGGCATGGTTGTTGAATACTGATTGCAAACGATCTATTGCATAATATTCTTTCTAGATTTTGAGGGAAATGTGAGGATGGTGTTGTGTACAGTTTGTCCCCTCTAGTCATCCGTGTTCAAAGAGCTCACATCAATTGCTCGTATTGAACTTGCGTCAAACTCTGAAACTAGAAGCATGTTTCCACTTGGACTCGCTGCAAGCGCTCGAGGAAACGCCCCCGTGGATATCTGGGGGAAGTTCACACGGCCTCTCCCCAAAGCTGCCCTTGTGTTAACAGCAGTAATACCTGTACTTGCGTTGCTATATCCAAACCGATTGGAGTCAGCTGTGAGAATATGACCACGAATTGCTGTGATTCCTATTGGAGACGTCCCCGTGTTGATTTGGGCAACCTGTGCATCCATTGTAGTGTTGTCAGCGAGCTTCGCCGCGTCGAAGGCTAGTACATGATTGGATTCTCGCGTCGTCACCCACAAATGCCTCCCATCCAAGGACATTTGCGCGCGCACAGGGTGGCATCCAGCTACAATCTTTTTGACCAACGATTTCCCGGGAGTTCGCCTCAACGTGGCGACGTCAAGAACGTTGACAATGCCCGTTGTATCATTCAAGGATGTTGCCGAATTATTCATCTCACTTGTAACGAAGAGCCGAGAATGATCCTGTGAGAACTGTTGACCGATGGTGGCGTAACCCAAGGCAATAAACCCCCTCCATGTGCTGGCTACTGTTCCATTGGCCAAACGGGTGACGTTGTATACTTCGAGAGCTCCAAGACCCCAGGTGTTATTGCTACCAAACTCTTGGCTGATAAACACGAACTTATCATCAGCGCTGACCGTCACCTCAATGGCGCTTTGGCCTACATAGCCGTCCTTACTTAACACCCCCACGTACGAGTCACTTCTGCCGGCGAGAGCTCGGTTGACGTCAAGGATCACAGCCCCATAGCCCGTGGCGGCGTAAAGGTTACGTTTGTCGTTCGTTAGGGCGAGCCCGCGCAATCCATACCCATCCTCCGTGATGTTGGTATTCCCAATCAAACACCATGGAGGAAGCGGAAGCATGTATTTCATCTTCGGAGTGAGCTCAGACGTGTCAATTACACCGATTGAGAAGTTGACAGCCGCAAAAGCAATCTTCTCGTTGAGATATATCAATCCCCATGGGCGCGACTCTACGCCAAGAACCGAATTGTTGAGGGGGAGGTCAGGCTGCGGAGGGGCATTGGTTGCGCATACGTGTGTCGGGAACGCTGCCGTGAGTGGAAGTAATACTGCGGCGATAGCAGCTACGGCCGCAGCCCAGTAGGCGACGAAACCTGCCATTGCTGCAAGTCTGGCAAGATTGTAGCTCACCCAAGGTGATCAACAGGCTATAGCAAGGTATTTGATGGAGAATAATATCCAGGGCCCGCCAAACCATGGACCTTAGCCTGCATATTAATAGGGCTGCCCCTGAAAGATCAGTGTTAGGCTTGGCAAATCGATCTGATACCCCATCCCCGCAATGCACATGCGACAGCCCAGACATCCCAGGCAAATGCCAAATAAAGATATAATCGCTTGGCTGGGAGCCTTTGTCGATACAACGTGGACATCACCTTCCCGTCTCGGGGAATTGAGCGCTTGGCGTTCCGCTCGGCATGCGGTCGTGAATTGAGGGAGTCAAGCTCTCGGGTTTCCGAATAGCTTCAAGCATACAGTGACGAGTTGGATACTAAGTTCAGTTGTGCGTCTCTTCTTGGCTTGCAAGCTTGTGACACTTCATCATCTAACATTGCCAATGCCAAGTTTTGGCGATTGGCTTGGGTGCCAGTGCCTAGACTGTTATCACAAGACCCGCTCCAGTTATGTTCCCGAGACCGTATGATCCATAGAAGACAATACGCGGGTCCGTAAAGCACTTTGAATGAAGGGCTTCGCATGCTAATTGCTGAGTGGATTTATCCGTTAACAGCTTATAACGAAAGGGATCATTTCTTGGCGATGGCCAAAGAAGGCAACGGAGTTAGAATCGTTTCGGATGTCGGCAGTGAGCCGCGATGACTAAAGACACCGTTATCCGTAGACGACGATGAGTCTATCCACTTCAAGGCCCTGGTCCACTTCGTCGCCGATTGGGATTGAAACAAATGCAACACACCTATTGGGCAATCACTGCACGTGTCACGGAGTGATTACCGAAGTTTTAGTATATTTGCGATAGATACACCCCCACTAGCCTGGAATCAAATAGACAAAAGGGAATGCTCCCAACGTTACAACGCTCTTAAGCAAACTTTCTATAAAGAAGATGATATTAAAACGATATCCTGGATTTGCAACTGGACTAAGCCCCGTGGTAAGGCATGACGGTGATAGTCTAGTGGATTAAGTGTTACAAGAGTCAAGACTTTACCTGTGCTTTATGATCGCTACATTTCAGGCAATCATCATCATTCGGAGATAATACCTGCCCGACTCAGTGGGAGTTGACTTGCATCGTATCAAACATCCTGAGTAGTGTCGCAGTCAAATTGGGAGTCTTTAACTTAAGTGATAGGGGCCATTTCTCAAACGGGTAGGTGTAAGGGCTGGTGCATCGGCAGGGACAACCTTAGAAAGACCCCAGCCCCACCGTCCACAAGCCCTGTGGGGACTTAACGATAGCCAGTTACATCCGGCACGAAGGGTTTTTATAATAAAGAAATATATTATAAACATCGATTTATAAAGTAATTTAAATAAATCGGTACGTTTAATTTATAAATAAGTTTTTATTTATTTAATATATTTAAATTATATTTAAAAATTTAAAATATAATATTAAAATATAAATTAATAAATTTATTTCGGTTAAAATTATATAAAACTTTAACTTTTTTATTTAAATTATTATATTAAAATATTTAATAAAAATTTAATTAAAATTTATATAATTTTATATAAATAAATTTTTAAAATTTTATAAAATTAAATATTTTATTTATAAATAAAAAAAAATTTAAAAATTTTTTTAAAAAGAATTTTAAAATATTATTATATTTTTTTTTATTTAATTAAAATAAATATAATTTTTTATTATTTTCTTAAAATTTTTTTTTAAAAAAACGTTTTATTTTTATAATTAATAATTAAATTTTTATTTTAAAAAAATAAATATTATAAAATTTAAACCCGCGTTTTTTTAATTAAAAAAACGTTTTATTATTAAATTAAATATTTCTTTTTATTTTTTTTATTATAAATTTATTTATTATAATTTTATATATTATTTTATTATTTTATAATATTAAAATTATAATATTATATTTTTTAATTTTATATTATATTAAAATTGTTTTTTAAAAAAGATTTTTAAAATATTATTTTATTTTTTAATTTAATTATAATAAATACTTTTTTTTTTCGTTTTATTAAAAAGACTTTTAAAATATTACCCCGTTTTTTTAATTAATAATTAAATATATTATAATAAATATTTTTTTCTTTTCGTTTTTTTTAAAAAGATTTTTAAAATATTATATTATTTTTTTAATTAATAATTAAATATATCATAATAAATTTATTTTTTTTATTTTTTTTAAAACGATTTTTAAAATATTATCCCGTTTTTTAATTTAAATATAATAAATATCTTTTTTTTTCTTTTTTTTAAAAGATTTTTAAAAAAGCGTTTTATTTTTTTAAATAATAATTTAATTTTTAAAAAAAAACGAATATTTATTATAAATATAAATTTATAAGTTTTAATTTTTTTAAAAAAAAGTTAAAATTTATTAAATAATTAACGTTTAATTATTAAAATAAAAAAATTATAAAATTAATAAATAAAAATAATTATATAATATAAATTATAATTTTAATAAATAAATTAAAATAAAAAATTATAATAAATTAAAATAATTTAAAATAAAAAATTATTATAATTATAATAATTTAATTAATATTAATAAAAAAATAAAAGAATATATAAAATAAAATTTATTTTAAAATAAAAGAATATATAAAATAAAATTTATTTTAAAATAAAATCGATATAAAATAAATTTAATATTTTATTTATAAATTAAATGTTACGAATATAACCTTACGAACCCCGATTTTAAAAAGGAAGAATTAAAACCCATTAAATAATTAACGCGTAACCGTTAAGATAAAAAGACCACGGGATTAATAAAATAAAAAAGGTTACGTAATATAAATCACGGTTTTAATAAATGAGTTAAAATAAAGGATTACCGGAATTAAAGTAATTTAAATAATTTAAAATAAAGGATTATTATAATTATAATAATTTAATTAATATTAATAAAAAAATAAATAAATATATAATAAAAGGGATTTTTTAATTATATAAATAGTTATTACTTTAATAATTAATTTAAATATCTATTTTATTTATAAATAAACCTTATTAAACCTTAATAATTATATTTATAACTTCGTTTATAAATCTTTTTATTATATTTTATTTAATATATAAGTTATAAATTATAACCGTCCTCGAAATTAACTATTATAAACATAACCTCACGAACCCCGACTTTAAAAAGGAACAATTAAAACCCATTAAACGGTTAGCGCGTAACCGCCAGGATAAAAAGACCACGGAATTAATAAAACAGAAAAAATCACGTAATATAAATCACGGTTTTAACAGGTAAACCAAGACAAAGGATCACGACGAGCCACGAATAAACTTAAAAAAAGGATCACCTTTAAATTAAAGTAATTTAAAATAAAGGATTATTATAATTATAATAATCCAATTAATATTAATAAAAAATAAATAGATATATAATAAAAAGGACTTTTTAATTATATAAATAATTATTACCTTAATAATTAATTTAAATATTTATCTTATTTATAAATAAAGCCTATTAAATTTTAACGATTATATTTATAACTTTATTTATAAACCCTTTTATTATATTTTATTTAATATATAAGTTATAAATTATAACCGTTTTTAAAATTAACGTCTTTTATTAATATAAACCTATATATTTATATTTTTTTACAATTTATTTTAAAAAGTATATTCGTTACATTTTAATTACTTTTATTTAAATACGTTATTTTCGAATTAATTAAATAATATCTTTATTAAATAAAATGGTATTATCCACCTTTAATAAAAACTCCGTAAATAACCCTACGGGAGGACTTAACGTCTTTAAAATAATATAATAATTATAAAAAACCCTCGATACCGTTAAAAATAACAATAAACAATTTATTATATAACTCGTTATTATTAATAATACGTAACGA